CTTGGACTATTTAAGTAAACTAAAGTGATGGGGCAGGGGGTGTGTTCTGAACTTACAAATTTAATATTTGTGCTCAAATGTTGTATGTATCAACTAAGATAAAAAATGTGTAATGTCACTTGCGGGAACTTTTAAAAGATATAAAGTTGTCTGTGGTAGGGTGAGAGAACAATTTCTACAAAAACAACAGCTCACATCAATTTCCCCTTTACACCATTAAAATATTTTTTCAGTTTCTAAAGTTAACTTTATTTCTACATTCTGTCTATGATGACATATTCCAAATCTGTGAGTTGAAAAGTTGACTGAATTTTAAAGATTTTTTTTTTTACAACAACTTTGTTGTGGTTTTCAGTAAATTATAAAAATATATATATATTTATATTTGTGTTTGTAACATTTTTTTTTTTTTTGCGGAAGTTCAAGAATAAGGCACAGTAGATGGCAGAACAACAACAAATAATTGTTTTCAATCTATTTGAATCATTTAGTAAGAGGGCTTCAAAAACAATGTCTGGATGAACGTCAGGGTCTGCCATTAAAGCCCAGAAAAGCCTCAGGAGCGAGGTGTCGGCTGCAGGGCCACTAATGGTTTGTCGCGGCCCCTCACTGGGTTCATTTCAAAGCAGCCTGAGCTTATCCTCTTCCCACTGGGCAGATAATGCAATTACACCATCCTACCTGCAGGTGGCTCTACCCCGGGTCTGCATTGTCTGAAGTGTGTGTGGTAGACAAGTGCAATCTCACTTTCACTATTCCAGGTTAATCAATCATCTCAGCGCCTCCTGACACCCTGCTGGTTCCCTAATGTTGTCTGGCAGCGTGAGCCGCCGCTGGCACCGGGCTCTGAGGCGCATATGGTGACCTGCGGTGAATGACGGGCCCTTTTGAGGAGTAGCGCAGGCACGCACTGAATCAGCATCAGCCGCTGGCGACTGGTGCCTGGGATGAGGTGAAAGACAAAGACCACAAGCTTTCTCTTTTCCAAGAGATGAAAGAGAAAACAACAGTACATGTTTGGACAATAAGAACATAAGTATGTATTGAGATATTGTATATTTTGAGTTACATAGCATTATATTACATTGCAACATAAGTTAGGGCTATGTCCAGTTCAAAAGGGAATGCAGATGTTCAAAATGCTATTTCTATTTCATTCATTTTCAAATGCAAATTGACAATAACTCGGTCCCTTCGGTCTAAAGCCCGGTCTCAAGCCGCTTTCATGTGATCTCGGAAACTCGGAAACATCCACGTAATCTTCAAACTTCCAAAAACCAGAGCGTTCATGAGGAGCTGGTGACGCTGATGACAACCAGGCATAGACGTCGGAACTAGGGGTGCGGGGGGTGCGGCCGCACCCCCTCCGCGTGTGCCGGGAGCGAGAAGTTATCACTATCCTGCGTTCCTTGCAGCCCAAAACCCGCTCCATGCTGTCGGAGGTGCTTATGAAGCTCTGTCTGGCTAATATCTGTCGCAGCCTCTGAGCGCTCTTTCTCAGCCTTGCGCAGATTAAAGACCTGGCTACACCAGTGACGTGCGGTGGGGGATCAATCATTTGTTCATATGATTATACATCATATAAACCAACAGGACCTACAGGAACAGGAGCGGCTTATACACAATTTGTTTGGCTACAGCAGAATATGATTTAATGTCTGCATAGTTTTCTCATACAAAACGCAAACGTTTGTAAAAAGTACAAAGTGTGTTATGGGCCTTATACCTTAGGTGTTAATGAACAGCACAGACCACTTCAGTTAGGACCAGTTTCATGTTTAAGTCCAGATAATAGTTTGAGCACAGATATGTAATCCTCCATTTGGAAATAAGTTCAATGAGTTTTAAAAAGTAAAAAAAAACGGGTGTCTCCTCCGTAAACTGCGAGTTTTGCTGCAGCCGACTCCCGGGTAAATCCAATTTCTAAATTCAACCTTACCCTTCACCTCTTTTTCTTATGATTCATATCATCATTGGAAGCAAAATATTACTCTAAGTGCATTTTAAATTATCTTAAAATGTATTATAGGTATGTTAGCCAAACCTGTAGCTGCCCTTAGCAGAAGAAGAACAAGAAAGGAGCTTTCTGATGGAATTGGATGCAGCCAAAGTTTGGGCTCACAAGCGCCCCCTTGAGGCTTTCCTCACTTACAAGCTGTGGTTGAGCGCGATTAAGACCCATATTTGCTTCAAAAACACAATTTATGAGCCATCCTCTTAAATGTAAACATGTTGATTGTAAATTAAATATTTTTGAACTTTTTAAACTGTGATAAACAGAGAAAACAGTTTGATAGCACCTCACAGGACTCTCCCTGTGAGCTGTTGCTTTTTACGTCTCCCAAGAGAGGCTTGCCTCACAGCGCCGCTCTGTCAAATCTGCGATTTCAAGGTATAAATAAATTAAATAAGGCACAGCACAAATCACTTGATAAAGTGACCAAACATTATTGTATCCATTTTATTACTTTTCTTTCTATGATCTTAGGTGAAGGCCTTACCTGCCTCATCTGACCGCACGTCACTGGGCTACACAACACAATGAAGCCACCGGAGAGACTGACGCATGAATGCGTATTGAAAAAAAAAAAGTTCAGTTTGATAAGTGACTTGCTTGATATATATTGTTTATTTTTCTTAACAATTAAGATGGTATGTTATTATCCAGTGTAATCCAAGTATGAGTCTCTCCCTCGACTCTCCCAACAAAAACCCGCCCCCCCTCTCAGAAAATAGTTCCGACGTCCATGCAACCAGGTGCAGCAACATCAATAAAAATATGTGCAGAAATATACCTTTCTCTTTGCTCATTCATTGGAGGAACAGAGACCTTAATTGTTTTGATATGAGAAATACAGGAGCAGATGTTGCTTCTCATAATAAAAAGTGCATTTACAAATACAATTATTGATATTTCTGCAAAGCTTTTGAGGCCAAAGATTCACCAATTATCATTTTCAATGAATATTTGGCTTACATTTTTTATTTTGTGAAGTTATTCTTTCATCCAGTCACCGTAGCACGCAAACTCTGAGACCATTGATCCAGCCCGAGTTTGAGTTAAATTTCCGAATTGAGCAGCATTCATTCCCATTTTTCCAGGTGGGAAGCTATAACTTCAGAGTTTCCAAGATTGCATGAAAGCGACCTTTACATGGCCTTTACAATTGCATAGATGTATTTGCAGTTAGTGATTTTCAAATTTTGTCAAAAACATAATTCTGAACCTCCTCCTAGTTAAGGATACATTTTCTAACTAAACCCATTTTTCTAAAATATGAAATGACAAATAGTCTCATTATTTTGAATGGCCACAACCAAAACTATGTAAAAAATGAATATAATATATCCCTTTCCAAAATGCCATTCAATACTGTGTAATGTAATTTAATTGTAACATTACAAGTTACATTGCCAATTTGCAAAATGTATTCTTCAAATCTGAAAAGCAAGTTTAAAAAATTGCGTTTTTATATCTGTATCTGCAAATTTGAGTGGTGACTCCAGATGGGTTTTTTTTTATAGTAGTGGTGGTTTGAAAATCAGGTAAGTCTACTGCAGCTAAAAACAAAATCATGCGATTTATTAAATCGGCATCACAGTAATCTACCTTATAATCAGCGCAGTGCATCTCGGCCCAACTGGTTACCCCAAGATATTGGGGTTGCAAGAAAATAAGCGGGTTCAGCTCTGTGGACTGGGTGCACCTTTGACTTCCATCCCCCAACCCATAAATAGATTAAGGGGAAGAAAAAGGGGCGGCACGGTGGCTGAGTGGATAGCACTCTCGCCTCTCAGCAAGAAGGTCCTGGGTTCGAATCCCGGTTGGACCAGGGCCTTTCTGAGTGGAGTTTGCATGTTCTCCCCGTGTCTGTGTAGGTTTCCTCCGGGTGCTCCGGTTTCCCCTACCACTAAAAATATGTACACCCCCACTCCCAAAAAAAAAAAATCACAATTGTAAACCGCTTTGAGACTCCGATGTGCAGTGAAAAGGCGGTATATATAAATAAAGATTTCATACATACAAAATGGATGGATGGCAAGCCTTTAGGGAACTTTGGAAAATATAAATCTTTGACAAAAATGTCATAGAAAGTACCATATTCTTTGGAAAAATGCCCCTTCTAACGTAATTTAGAAAAGTGTCTATTATGCAAGTTTTTATAATTAAGGGACAAAACCGCCATGTTGATCGGTCCTGACACCATTCTAGTGGAGAACCACTTATCGTCAGTTAAAATCCAATATAACTCCAGGAATGTTGCCAACTTGCCATGCTTGGATCAAGGTGATAGAAGAACCAAAAAGTTTTGTGTTAATTAGTTCCAGCTTAGCCCTTTTTTGTAATATTGTTTCACTTGTTTAAATTGCTTCCTCCTGCAAGGTGTACACACATGTAGAGTGTGACATTTAAATTGGTATTACACTTAATCTACAGGGAATTTAGAAATTATTAACATGTTGGTACAAGGGATATGTTGATAAAACTGGATTCTTGGAATAATATAGATTAATGTTTGGGTTTAATGAACCATATAGACATATTTGACTGTTGCACTGAGCCAAAGCAATTTCCAAGTCTGTGACCTCCCGTTACTTACGTTGGCAATAAAAATGATTCTGATTCTGATATAGATATACGTATAAAACTTTATTTTAGTGAGCAACGGACTGGGAAAGCATTATTGCAAAAAAGAATACTGAAAGTAATTGGTAATAACTATCACACAGAATATGTATTTTTATACAAAATGTAATAAAATAACAGAAACCTAAACACACAAACATTGAAATAACTAGTGAACCTGTGGAGTTTGTTTGCATTCAGGTTTCAAGCATTGAAGTCTGTAAAGGTTAGCAACAAAAGCAAAAAAGCCTGAAAACAGGCTGGCTTCTGCAGTGTTGCTTTAAAAATGATCATGCAGGAGGCAATGAGTATGCATGAGTAAAACAATGGGACCTCCCAGCAATTTTCTAATTCTTCAGGATAATCTAAATTCTTAAAAGACTCTGTCAAACTCTGTCTGGCTAGTGGTGGCAGGGTTTCTGCTCTGGTTGGGCTGTTGCTGAGGCATGTGTCCTCTCCGCCTGGGGGGAGCCAAATACTCAAACATGGATGTGTTGTGTGTGGACAACATGTTCTTGAGGTCAGAAGGCATGGGGTCGGACCAGAAGAAGTCGTGGTTGAGTGCATCATCACTGTCTGTCCGTTGTGCAGGATCCAAAACTAGCAGTTTGTCAATTAGATCCAGAGCATACGGGTCCTTCACGTATGCTTTTAGACGATCTTTTACTTTCCTCTTTTGACCTTTGGGAAGCTCCATTTTCTGATAAAGCTCATACTTCTTATCCACACCTGGCCACACCTTTTAAATATGAAGAAAAAAGTTAAATATTTTAGCTGATAATATACTGCATATGAATAGATATGAAAGTGGAAATCTTATACCTCCGCTGTGATGGATCCACAAAGTTGACTGATTAAAGTAAGCTGATGTTGTTCTGTGTTGCCTTGCATGATGGGGCTCCGTGTCCACATCTCAGCCATGATACAACCTGCACCCCATAGGTCAATAGGAGGGCCATAGTCACGCTCACCTGAAAGCAAAATACAAACCAAATACAGCTTTTTCAAATATTCAACCATTTATGACAGCCAAATACTAAATTTGAAATCAATAAGTCCAAGGACTAAAGCAGGACAAGTTACACACAAGTGTCGTAGTCACTGAGCCAATAAAACCCCAAAAAGAAGCTTACAGTAACAGCATTGCAAAATGACCTGGGTCCACACCAGTGATGGGAATAACAGCGTTGAAATAAACTTTTCTCAGTAACGAGTAATCCAATTACTTTAACTATAACGCCGTTATCATTGCCGACACCCCGTTACTGCACGTTACTCAAGTCGCACAATTAACTTTTTTTTTAACTTCATAATAGGACTTGTGCACGTGTTGACATGAGGGGGAGGATGAGATAACCTCTCAGCAATTATTGCCTGATGTAAAACATTTCCTTTACAAACATATCTACAGCTGAGAGGATGGCTCATAAATTGTGTTTTTGACAACATATGGGTCTTAAAGATGCTATAACCGATTTGTTTTAATGAGTTCATAAAAATGCTTATTACTACATACAAGTTGTATTATAATCCGTAATTTAATAGAAAATTTGAGCTCATTGATTCAGCTTTTGTATGAATTCAGGCCGTAAAAAGTGCTGAGCAGAGACTTTAGCGTGACACCCGCTCTCCTCCACTCACAGAACGAGGCTGCGTCCTCTAGCCTCTACAGCGCTGCTAAACATATTAGCATGTCAGCAGAATTGGCTTTATACAATTGCGTGTAACTACAGACACAGCAAAACAGCCCAAATGACACAACAGTGAGGAAAATAAGAGGGAAACAAAGCAAAAAAAGGATCAAAGAAATAAAGAAAAAAAATGATCAAAGCCCAGATGAACATAGCTAGCTTACATCGTATCCTCTGGAGAGACTCGTCTATGGGAGAGACCTGCGGGACTGCCTCGGACTATCTATGCTCGGACTAGTAAGTAAGTAAGTAATCTTTATTTATATACCCCCTTTTACAGACCAGAGTCACAAAGCGGTTTACAATTGTTATTATTTTTGGGCATTTGTCCACTCACTCCACACAGAGATGGGAGTGGGGTCGCCAGTACCTATTGTGCATGTTTTTAGTGGTAGGGGAAACCAGAGTACCCGGAGGAAACCTACGCAGACACGAGGAGAACATGCAAACTCCACTCAGAAAGTGCGCTATCCACTCAGCCACCGTGCCGCCTACATTCGAACGCGGAACTAGCGGTAATTTTTCAGTCAAATTTTGTTAGCAGTGCGTTGCTTTTGTACCATTTCATCAGTGATTGTTGTACAGCTGAAGTTGCGCTAATGTTAGCATATGTATCAGATCGCAAATAAAACTAGATGGCTCTGTGGAATGAGAGCGTAGGGGAAATGAGAAGCCTGTGAGCGAGTTGGGGGGCAGTGCTAAACATTCAAACCTTGCAGTAACGGGTATAGCTCCTTTAACTCGCGCTCTACCACGGCTTGTAATGTCACCAAGTGAGGCCAGCCTCAGGGGAGTGCATGTGCGCGCAGAATTTGGCTGCATCCAATTCCATAAGAAAGCTTCTTTCTTGTTCTTCATCTGCTAAGGGCAGCAACAGGTTTGGCTAACATACATAAGACATTTTAAGATAATTTTAAAATGCACTTAGGGTAATGTTTCAATGACGATAGGAATGATAAGAGGTGAAGGGCAAGAAGGTTGATTTTAGAATTTGGATGCACCCAAGATTTGGCTGCAGCGAAACACGGGAGGAGTTTATGAAGGAGACACCCGTTTGGTTTTACTTTTTAAAACTCATTGGACTTATTTCCAAATGGAGGATTACATATCTGCGCTCAAACTATTACCTGGACTTTAAACATGAAACTGGTCTATGCAGGTCATGTTTAAGGTAAGGCCCCTAACACACTTTAAAATTTGCTTTTTCATATTTTTGCGTTTTGTATGAGCAAAGAATGCGGGCATGAAACATTCTGCTGTAGCCAAATTTGTTTTTAATAAGCCGCTCTGTAGGTTCTGTTGGTTTATATGATATATAAGTACATCTGATTGGGGTGAAGTCAGTGCCTCACCAATCACCAACCTCACTGGTTTTTCCGCATTCACAGAGGCGGCTGTTGTTTCGTGCTCACAGCACAGAGAGAGATGAAGAGTGAGGACGACTCCAGCAGCAAAACAGCCTTTTCCAGATGGAAATATTGGCACCAATTCAAACTGAGGTTAAAGGTAAAAATGTGCACGTCGAGTGCACATTATGTTCCAGAACGAAACGAAAAAGTAACGCAATAGTTACTTTTATAGTGGAGTAACTCTTAGAAGTAACTAATAACTATGACTAATTACTTTATCAAAGTAACGTGCCCAACCCTGGTCCACACTCATTACAGGGCATTCTGCAGAAATGTTATGCATATCGTACATAGCTCAAAATGTGTGCAGCTATAAATAACAAGAATAAACAATTTGAATATGTAAATCAATTGAAGGGCGAACATTAAAGGCCTCCAACATACCCAGGAGTAGCTCTGGCGGTCTATACCACAAGGTGACGACTCTGTTTGTGTATCGATTCCCCTGATTGTTTTTGGCCAAACTGAAGGCTCGTGCTAAGCCAAAATCTGCTAGTTTGAGGACACCATCTCTCGTGATGAGGACGTTGGCGGCTTTCATGTCTCTGTGGAGAATCTGAAAGAATAACATAGTATAAAGACAAATCAATTTAGAAAAAGTGATTTGTTTATCTACAAGTTTAAACATAAATATATATATTCACCTTATTTCTGTGAATGTAGTACAGTCCATTAAGAAGCATTTGCATAACCTTTTTTATCTCAGCTAAAGTGAACTTTACATTGGAGTTGCTCAACAAACCGGCCAAATCGTGCTCACAGAAGTCAAACACCAAGTAGATACTGCCTTTGTATCTGTTGAACTGAGTAGCTGAGGAAAAACAACAGATACGGCATGACAAGGTACTTAGTAATTAAGGCAAAAGTCGATGTTGAATACAACAAAAACACACACCTTTCGTTCTGCAGATCTCAATTAGATTTACAACATTTTCATGTTTAAGAAGTTGTAGTATCTTTATTTCCCTCAACGCAGTAATTGGAAACTAAATAATAAGAAACACCAGAATAATATAATTTGGAAAGTTTAACTCAGTAATAGAAAAGAATGTGTAAGGCATTTAGCTTAAGAGAAAATGTACATGTGTTACAAATATATTCATACATCATGAATGTAAACATCTTTACGACTCGTCCCTTACCCCTTCTTTTTCATTTTCCATTAGGACTTTCTTTAGTGCCACCTTCTTCCCAGTTTGTCTGTGTTTTGCTTTAAACACTTCGCTGTAATGAGCAAACACCAATGAAAAACTACACAGGTTGAGAATGTAAGCTAGCTGCTGCGTAGCTAACGTTAGTTATCATGATTGTTATGTATAAGTAACAAAATATTTGCAACAGATACAATACAGTATTGATGTATATCAAATAAACTCTTACCCGAAGGTTCCTTGTCCAATCTTTGCCATTTTTTCATACTTTGAGAATTCATCGCAAAAAGGAAACTCAACGCCGTCGTAGTATTTGGACATAATGGCTGCCTCCCGGTCTGGCCTGCAAACGAGGTACATCGGTATTTACAGAATGTGGAAGTGTTCGTTATCGCAATATAAACTAAAACGTGAGACATTAAGTATATAAAAGACACATTTTCTTACTTTTCAGCCGCGCCGGCTGCGGCGTTACTTGTTTTGTCCCGCTGCATCTTCCCGTCACTGACCACAATGAGTCACTGACGACAGGGGCGACCCCTAGCGGCTTGAAGGAACAACTTCAGCCTTTCCTTCTTCTCGCATGTATTGAGCAGATCGGCGCATTGCTGCCTCCCCCGGGTTAACTTCAGTACTTATATTGTGTTATGGGCGAAATTACCCGGGGTAATATATACATACATACAGTCTATGGGTAAATAGCAGTCTTTGATTTTTAAAACATCCAATGTGACATGTTTCTATAGACTAGATAGATAGATAGATAGATGGAGAATGTTCTAGCTTTATAACGGACAATAGGGAAGAGCACATGAACGAACTCTCAAACTCGCTCTGACGTACATTGATAAGTAATCTCCTCTAACTCAGTAACTGTTTGTATTACATTTGTCTTAAAATCCGGGTTGGCGCTCTTTTGAAAATCCAGATATGAGCCAATTAATGATTGACCAATCAGATGCCTTCATTCGCGGGGGAAACTATGTAAGTTTCACAGACTTTCTCAACCACATGTGTTCTCTTGTGCAGTGGCCAAGCTTCAACCGAGTGTTGCTGGTTTGCTCTGCTTTTACCCTAACTTTTCTCTCGTCCTTTGACGCTATTTTCTCTTAATCTTAATTCTTAATTTTACTATATATATATACAATACGTAATACGTCGATACCAAGGATTTAACAAAACAACAGTAAACTTGTTTAAGGGGCGTCTCGTCGACGCGCCTCCTACACGCCCATATTTGGAAACACTTCCGTAGGCGCCTGTGATGGCGTGCATGTGGCGCGTGTGGCGAAGGAGCTGCGTGCTTTCCGCGCGGCTGCGGAACCAGGACAGGACCCACGAGGCGAGGCTCTCATCCCGGTCCTCCAGCACTAAAGCAGCTCCTTACACCTCGAGGATGGAATATCAGGTCAGCTTTATACTAACACTATCGTCTTTAGCAGTTGTTAGCCTGCTAGTTAGCCGAGAGCGCCTGGCTGTCAGGGCTATGATTGTAGACACTTATAATGACTCCGATTGAACTAAAAACAAACATGGCTGACCGAAAAGTACCACCGTTACATTAACACGGAATACTAACTAATTATATTGTTACTTCTACATGTCTATGATAGTATGACTTCTGCTTTTGAGCCTTGTTTATTTATCAGCGAGTCTCAAAGTACTACCTGTGCTTCTAAACAAGCACACGACGAGTGAATTAACTAGAGATTGTGCTGTATTTTCACATAATTTGGCTCTAAGTAACTCCTAACGACTGTTTGATGCTATTACTAATTGTAATAGTCATGTTTTCTGGCCTCTGTCTCATCAAAATATTTTTTTCCCCCTGTTAATTACCAAAAGGTTGTTAAACAAAAGGCATCATTTTTGGTCACACATGTATTCATGATACAAAGAAGTTAGGGAGTCCCTCTTGAACTGAAATCTGTATCGATTTTTATTTTATTGTAATAGACTCTTATGCAGGCACAGACGATGGTTGAAATCCCTGTTTAAATTTGTGAATGTTTCTGTTTTTCAGGACGCTGTGTGCACGCTGAATACCTTGCAGACCAATGCCAGTGCTCTTGAACATGTGCGACAGGAGCGCAGCCACCCTGAGCTCCAGCTCCAGGCCATGGTTGGTTTCCTTGAACGGTCTGGTCTCACGGTGAGTGCGCTGTTTAATCAAGGTAACTGATTGATTTATTGGGTTGTTTTGATTGAATTGCTTTTGTGTCTGCTGTTTTAGGTAGATAAGCTTGATCATCTCAATATCATTCATGTGACTGGTACAAAGGGCAAGGTGAGTTTAATTCTTAATGGAATCTGTTGGTGTTGTAGGAGATCAGCGCAGTGAATATACATAAAGTATCTTTTGTTTGCCATTATAGCTGTGTATAGTGCATGTGTGTAGAGCTTTATTACACAAGCTCTGTTAAACACATGTCCTTAAAACCTGTTGCTTTAACAGGGATCTACCTGCGCCTTCACCGAACGCATTCTGAGAAGTTATGGTTTCCGTACTGGATTCTACAGGTACCATCCTTTTCATTATTTGCCTCATATTATGCATTCCTGTTTTCACACTTGTATTTTTGTTCTCAGCTCTCCTCATTTGGTCCAGGTCAGGGAGAGGATTCGTATAAATGGACAACCAATTGGAAAAGAGCTTTTTGCTAAATACTTTTGGCAGGTGTATGGACGGCTATATGAAACCAAGGTTTGTCAGACTAACATAATCAATAAAACATAGAATTCCTTTTATAGGATTTTTTGTGTGTGGCTTATTTATAAGCAATTCATCAGATGTATTTTTTTTTTCTTGGACGTCAATGAAGACTTTTGTAAACGTGCAGAATATTCTAAAGAAGATGGACAAATTATAGACCTGGTGTCAGCAGCGTGACACTGTCATCTGACAGCAGTTTTGGTCACATTTTTCAGATTAGACACCAGAAATGGGCCGTTTCCAACCGCTCTTTGCTGTAATGGACGAGGTGGGAGCTTTTCATGTCTGATAAACAGTGAATGAATGTGCCCTCTGAGTCACTAATTGACTGAATGAGATTGGTAGTCTGTTTTTTTTTTCACTTCTGTCTAAAAAGTGGTTCTAAAGTGAAGGGATGTTATTACCAGTTCGTGAAAGCTGGGTAAGGATTCAAGACTTTTATTTGATCAATTAAACTCATAACTCCTTGTAGGCATTATCTTGATCCATTGCAAAAACTCAAAACAAGTCAGATTTATAATAAGACTTCACTTTTGTCAGACATACGTAAATGTGACACGTAATAACTTTATTTAGTTGTAATTGGACTCTTGCGCCACAAGGTGGCACATGATTCTGTGTATCGTGAGGTCAGAGGCAAGGAAAAGGGAAACCCCACTTCTGTCTGATTTCACTGTTTCAGGAATGTTAAATCTGCCCAACGTACCCAAAGCTGGGTTTAACTCTTTATACAGCTCTACTTCTATGTTTTGTCTATTATTTACAGTTGTTTTTCTTTTATAGTTTTTTTTTCTTATTGTTCTGTAATGCTCGCTGCAACACTGAAATATTCTCTCAGTGGCACAAATTAGTGTTTTTGATTAATTCCAAAATCTCTGGCCCATTTTCACACAGCGGGAAACTAATTTCCAAAAATGTAAATCCTGTATAATCACAATACATTCATTTAAAACAACTTTTAAGACTCTTAATCCTTATTTTATGCCCAGCTATACTGTTTTCAACCTGCATTTGAACGTCAAAGTAAAAGCTTGTCTCACAATTTAGAGCCCATTCTTTAATCCTGACTTGGAGCGGCTGGCCTCCTGCTGGTGCCCAGCTGGTTCACATGTCACTCATGTAATCCTGTACACATCAATACCATTTCTGTGCGCTTACCGATGCCATGTTAATATATGTATATGAAATTATTGATGTATACTTTAATTTTAGGAAGTGAATGGAGGAACGATGCCGGCATACTTTCGTTTTCTTACAATTTTGGCTTTTCATGCATTTCTCCAGGAAAAGGTTAGTGTGATGCTTTGAATTACGTGATTGTCTTAAATACTATACTATTTGTTTTATTCTTAAATCACTTTTCAGGTGGATTTGGCCATTATTGAAGTTGGAATAGGTGGTGCGTATGATTGCACAAACATTATTAGGTTAGTCTTTAATATATCATCTATTGAACCATAATGTCACTTGTGCAAAGCATTGTTCAACTGGCTGCACTTTTGGGACTGAGTCCAATGGTCACTTTGGAAATGTTTGTGTGATGACGTCAAAACATGTAAACACTGAGGAAAAGTTGCACGTGTCACTGTTTACTCAACAGGATTTCTTTGTTTCTGTCAGGCGACCATGGGTCTGTGGCATCTCCTCTCTTGGCATAGACCACACTCAGATTTTGGGAGACACTATTGAAAAGATTGCCTGGCAAAAAGGAGGGATCTTTAAGGTGGGTATGTATTGTGATTTTAAGGAGATGCAGTTGTGGTAAAAATTGCAGCAGTGCATCAAGTTATTTTCTAGTTTATTATCATGTTTTTTTCTGTTGCCTTGTTATGTTGAACTGAAGGATTTTTGACCAATGGCATTCTCAAGTCAATAATAAAGATGGCAAATGTTTTTCTTTACAATCTATAGGTTCCATCTTTAAAAATAAACATGCTATAGTAGTATTATTAATGCACGTTTGTTGCATGGAGTCGCCAAATCATGGCACCTATGTATTCCTACATTTCAGCTCAATCCTGACGGATTAAGGTCAGGGGATTGGGCTGCTACTTGACTTCAATTTCATTAGTCTGGATCTACGATGCTGTGCTCTTACTACCCTGACCAGCAATGGCATCTACTTTCTGAAGTGTGAAAGCAGACAGTATTATCCAATCGTGTGGCCAGGCTACACTTACTGCTGTGTCTCCAAGAGCATTTAATCTTCTGCATAAGGAAACCCGACCCCTGGTATGTGATCTAGAGCAGATGCCAGTAAAAGAAACTTCCTAATGTAGTTTTGCCACCAGGCTTCAGGCTTCAACTGTTTGACAAACTATATAACCTTTTTGTATTTCATTTTAGATCTTAAATTAACTGCAGATCTGTTTTTCTCCTAATATGAGCCAAATGTTGAATCTTCATACATTTTCGTCAGTACAAATACAATGATTACAATGATAGCCTCAATGATTCTTTAGTACAAAATATGTTAGTTTATTCAGGTCAAAATTAGAAAATTGTAAATGTACTTCTGTAAACATACTTTGTGAAATTGTTATAAGATAGAATTAATCATAATTTATAACGAAGGACATTTTCAGTTTAAATACAGAAAATAAATTAACTTTTGAACAATACTGTAATTTGCCCAGTGTCACCAGTTTAATATATGCTGATGTGTTTGCAGACAGGAGTTCCAGCTTTCACAGTTAAACAACCTGACGACGCTATGGTGGTGCTAAAAGACCGAGCGAAGGAGATTGGTGTGAGTTCACAACATTGGATCCAAGTTGCTTCTTTATGACAAAATGTAACTGTTTCATTTTCAGTGCTCCCTGCAAATGTGTCCAAATCTGGGTGATTACGACACAGACTGTGGTCCTCTAATGCTTGGCCTTGCTGGACAACACCAGCAACCAAATGCCTCTCTTGCTCTTCAGCTCAGTCATACCTGGATGCAGCAAAGGTTTCATCAGAGTAAGAAATCCCACCGTCATATGTGGCCGCAAAGAAGGTACTTGAGTTAATTGTGCTATTTCTATTTTCCACCAGGTAAAGAGTCATTTCAACAACAAGAAGGGAACTCTGCATGTCAAGCCTCTAGCTTCAAACTTAGCCCAGTCATGGTGAAAGGTGTGTTCTTTTAGGCTTCTATAAATCTGCGAATTCAAATATTTAGGACAAAAGTGAAAACTTAAAAACTCCAATCACTTCGTTGCCCACCTTGTTCCAATGACTTGTCTGCTGTGCTTTGTTATTTAGGGTTGACGGAGACAGAGTGGCCAGGAAGAAATCAGACTCTTAAACACGGCCCGGTCACATACTTTTTAGACGGCGCTCACACCATGCGCAGTATGCTCGCGTGTGTCCAGTGGTTCAAAGAAGCTGCAGCACAACACGAACGGACTGCCAGGTAATGTTTATTCTGGTCTCTGTAATAAGATTCTGAATGGTTATGGGGCTGTCCTGTGTAGAGATGGCATGTTCTCCCTGTGCTTGTGAACTCCACTGGAAGCAATTTGAATTTTTCGAAACTGAATGGAATTGATTGACATACTGTAATAATCTCAGGCAAATTGGCACATATTAATACAATAATTGTGTCTAATATTGAATTGAAATTAATGTGTGATGATAAAAATGAAATGATAAATGTGAGATCATCCTCAAATCCTAACCCTCTCTGCTTCTAGTTTAGTAAGATTCATCTTGTCTTCATAGGTTCTTCTTTAACAGACAATATAAGGCTTTTGTGGTGGTGTTGTCTTGACATGTTTCGACGGAAAACGATGTCAAGGAACAACACCACAAAAACCTCTCTGCTTTTGCCAAATTATCCTCACCAAACTCAACCCGTTCACAAGGCTCTTCCACTCTGGGGCCAGGACTTATGGTGCTTTCAGACCGGATCATGCGTTGCTTCGGCTTTCAATACAAAGTCTATGGTGACGCGCGTTCGATAGCGGTCTGAGCGAGCAGACTAAACATACTGTAAACAGCCAAAACAGGAGCTACACCATGACTTAAAACCAGGGTTGACATTGGGGGACTGTGTGCTTGTGAACATAGGCGTTTGTAAGTAAGTTAGCTCAAAGAGCCTTTCTGGTTGTTGGATGGTTATTATCCAACAACTATTAAAAACAGAAGATACTACTATACAACATACTACTGTTATATAAAGTCCGTGGAAGGTCTCTGAACACAGACACCCTGCAAAGCTGCATTATTGGAGAAGATCTTTACACGAGAAGCCGCTAGCATAACTCTTAGCATCAGAGCCGGCCGGCTACTTCCGCCACTTCCGGTGCTGGCCAGGACGTTCTGGTGTGAAGACCCCTGCGTCTGAAAACTAGAGAATGCGCGTCTGGTGAGCAAGGCTTCAGCGTTTGAGCGTTTGCGGTCTGAAAGCACCATTAGCATGGCCTTTGCGTTCCGTACACTCTGCTCAATCATAATTTCACTGCATGTAACCTCTGGGTCTGGTCCCCTTGTTAGCGTTTACAATCGGTTGAATTTCGACCAACAAATCAGCGCGCGTGGGTGTTGTAGTTAGTTGTGGGTGATGTCAAAAGTTTGCGCCGAACTGGCAGGTTGTAGTTTGGCAATGGCGAAAAATGCGATAGTAAAGTAATCCGGTCTGGTTCTATCAAGAAATTGAAGCCGGAGCAAGGGTAATGTTTAGCAAATGTAATCGATGGAAAAAATTGTGGTGCTACTCCCCACGGGCTCTGTTAGCGGCAAAGGAGATGGCTAGGCTAAATGCTAACAGACTCGGGCGCATTACATACGTGAGGGTAAACTCTGATCCAATCGTTGCAAAAGGAGTTAACCCCTCCCACCTGCAAACGGAGCTCAATGGAGCACCTCCAGACCTTAGTACGAAATGTAATTTGTACTATGGTGTGGTACGACCAGGCTAGCCAGGACTCCTAACTTTCTAATTCTGTGGGATTGAAGTAAAGAAAAAAAAAAAGGGTGCATAGCATTTTAATTAAATGCTTGTTTGTAGTGGTCCTGTAGCAAGAGTGCTACTATTCAACTCTACTGGAGAGCGAGACTCAGCGGCCATGTTAAAACTGCTGGTGGTAAGTGAAGCACAACATCACTTCGTTTTGTCAAATACCAGTTTTTCATGTTTTTATTTCTTGCAGCCCTGTCAATTTGACTTTGCTGTGTTTTGCCCTAACATCACAGAGGCTATTGCATCGTGCAATGCTGGTAAGGCCTGCAACCTTGAGTAATTTTAACTATCACGTTGCATGTCGGCCGGTTCAGGTCAGTGAGAGGTCTCTTTGTTAATGTGTCTTTCTCCTCCTTCAGATCAGCAGAATTTCAATGTGTCTGTCGAGAACATGTTGACTCGTTGCCTGGACAACCAGAGCAGTTGGCACATGCACAAGAGCAGCTCCCAGGACCTCACAAGCTCTCAGATGCTGATCGGGGATTCTTTTGGCATGGTCCCTGATAGAAAGACTGCAACGCTGGTTTTCCCCTGTATCCTGAGCAGTCTCCAGTGGATCGCTCAAGGAAAAGATTCAGTTCTTCTGGAATCAGACAAAGCTCAGTTACCAGTGAAACCCAGTGTTATGGCTAAAGCTGCGCTGCTTCGTGAAACAAGTGGAATTCATGTGCTCATCACAGGAAGCCTTCATTTAGTCGGTGGCGCTCTCAAACACCTCGACCCCGTCATGTCTAAATAACGTTGTGGTCAACATCCTTTTTAGAAAAATAAGATGGACTCTTGATCAAAGGCAGCTGCACTTGCTTCACCCAGAGCCTTATTCTCAACTCAGATAATTTAGTTTTTCTTGAAACATGTTTACATTAACATTTGTGGGATAAATGAGTGGGATTTTTAGTATGATAGAACTATGTATGAGCTCGGGATGAGCGGATCATGTTAGACATGATTAAACCTGAAGTCTGTGCCTACACTGTTGCTGCACACGATTCCTTGTTAAAATAAATTGTATTATTTTGGGGAAACTTTTACAACATATTTAAATATAATTTGGCATATACATAAATTATTTTGTATTGAGTGTTGTAAATGGAATCAACTTTTTCTTGTGACTAATTTTTATCAAAACACAAAATATATTTATTTTATATATTTACAAGTATTGTTCTTGTGTCCTTTTTACAGTGTCCTCTCCTCTTTGGCCTGGCTATAAAGATAACATTAAAAGAATGTTACACATTTCAGAAACTGAATCAATGATTATTTTTTGGTACAGATATAAGTGTATACACAAACTTTATTTTACTGAGAATGAAAAGGATGTAACAAGTACTTTAACCAATACTTCTAAACTATTGGCCCAAACTTGGCAAAAAACATTTTACCTTCCACAATCGATGCAGACTACAAACTCACTGATAGAAATATCTGTTCTATGTATTTAAAACCAGATGAGGAAAAGGAGCTTATCGATATTGTTAATAAATGCCAAAACAAAACATCTACCGATTTCCATGATATAGACATGCGCACATTAAAAAGTGTAATTGGAGCTATATCAAAACCACTAACTTTAAGCTCCGCGCCGCGTGAGTATACACAAGGCTTATCCTGTCATTCAAAACCAGACATTTTACAAACAAGATGAAAATCGCAAAAGTCATTCCACTCTATAAATCTGGTAATAAGCATTTCATAAAATATAGGCCTGTTTCTCTGCTCTCACAATTCCCAAAAGTTTTAGAAAAAGTATTCCACAATAGACTAGATGCATTTATTAACAAACACAACCTACTCTCAGTCAATTTGGATTTAGAAAACAGATCTACTGCATTAGCCTTGACACAACTTATGGAAAAAAATCACAAATATTGTTGAAAACAAGAAATTGGCCATAGGCGTATTCTTGGACCTTAAAAAAGCTTTTGATACAATAAATCATGAGAAATTGATACAAAAACTGGAGAACATTGGGATACGGGGCCTTGTATTGAATTGGGTAAAGAGCTATGTATTTGGATAACAGACAGCAATTTGTGAAGATGGAGGACAGAGAATCCAAATATTTCAAAATAGTGTGCGGGGTCCCACAGGGTTCTGTGCTTGGGCCTGTTTTATTTAACTTGTATATTAATGACATCTGTCAAGTTTTTAAGTTTTACAAACAGTATGTTTGCAGATGATACAAACCTTTTGTTATCAGGTGAGAATATTGAGCAACTCCTGGCTACAATCAAATTAGAAATGGTTTGACACTAACAAGCTTTTGTTGAATCTGGATAAAACAAAAATTATGCTTTTTGGAAACTGCAACAAAAGTGCTCAAATTCAGGCACAAATTGATGGGGTAATGCTGGAGAAAGTTCATGAAATCAAATTTCTAGGTACTGTTATAGACAATAAGATGAATTGGAAACCTCACATTAGATATTTACAAACAAAGCTGTCCAAAAGTATTTCCATCCTGGCAAAAGCAAAGAATCACTGCATACCCAGTGCAATGCACTTTTTGTGCCTTATTTAACATACTGTTTGGACGTCTGGGGGGAACACTTACAAAAGTACACTTCAACCACAGAGTCTGCTGCAGAAACGACCGGTCAGAATTATCCATCGAGCCAGTTTTAATGAACATACTCATGCGTTATTTCTCCAATCAAAGATCTTCAAATTAGACTATCTTGAGTCGTTTAAAACTGCACAAACTATGTTCAAAGCTAGTAATAAATCATTACCTCAACAATTACAGTCTTTGTTTAATGTAAGGGAAGGTGTCTACAACTTAAGAGGACAACAGCATTTTAAAATGAGGCGATGCCGCACAGAAAGAGTTTCTGTATTTCTAGTTGTGGCGTTAAATTATGGAATAGTCTCAGTGTTGAACTAAGATTATCTCAAAATATAATCAATTTTTAAAAGAAATATGATACAATACAATACAATACAATTTATTCTTGTATAGCCCTAGGTCACAACAGAAGTCATCTCAGAGGACTTAACAAAACCATTGAAATCACCAACACAGGTCAGAGAATCAACAGTTAAAACACATGAAGAATACAGTATAAAGCACACACAGAAGAAAATGTCCATACATGTTGTAGAATGCTAAAGTGTCCTGATCATCACCAATCCTTTCTGTTGGACACTAACTGTCCAACAAGACCCTCCTGCATCGACAAGGAAAAACTCTTAAAAAACCCAGTGGGAAAAAGTGAGAAACCTTGGGGAGCACTAGGGAAACCCACAGGGAGGGAGACCCATATGAGAAAGGGATCCGCTCCTCCGGACGGACAGACTAATGATCTAGGACCTAAGCTAGCTACAGAACGTGGACCAGTGGACGCTGAACGTGGACAGGTCCGGTGCAGGACCGAAGCACTCCCAGGCGGGTCGGGCGGGGCAGTCCGCAGGTGTAGATGGAAGAAAATATGAAGAAAACATTTGTATGCAATATTTGAAAGAGTAATGTTAATTGTGTTTCTTTCATGTGTGCAGATGTGGTTGTGTTGTTTACATATAAACAGCTGACTTACTCTGACCATGCTATGTTTAAGACCTGCAATATTTTGTACAAAAACTTAATGACTTTAATGGTAAACTTCTGTTGTTCTATTTGAAGTGATCTGTATATTGAAATTATTCCGGATATATCATGTAAATATATATATTAGACCATTAAGAGGGGTAGGAATCAATAAGTTTTAAACTTCCTCCTACTCCTTTTGAGCATCATGGGCTGAATGTACTCTTTGTCAAAATGTGTATGTATTTTTCTTTTTTTTCATTTGTATTGTTTTGCAATTGACCAACTCTTTGAGTTGAATGTCTTGCATGTATTTGAACAGATGCTTAAATAAATAAATAAATGTAATAAATAAAATAAATCCTTGCACATACAAATATGACAGTGGCTCATTTGGCCTGAAGACTGGGTTCGAGCCCACCACAAGACCTTCTCCACCGACTCCCACTGATGACTGCTATCGTGTCCTTGGGCAAGACACTTAACCCCACTCTGCCTGAAGCCCCTGCTGAAAGATCAAGGCTCCTGTGGACTCACCACCTGCAGGAGGATCAGTGAGGGGCTGGTGCTCTGTGTACTGGGTGCAGCCCTGATTGCCATCACCCCGACCCAGAAATGGATCAAGGGGAAGAAGATGGATGGATGGAATACCAATGATGGAAAATGGGGGGAAAAGTCAGGTAGTTAATGCTAACATTAAAACAATTACATTGATTACCAAACGTTGTAAACTAAAGTTAAACTTAACATATTCATAAATTGCCTACTGTCCAGGACTCGTACAGGTCATCAAAGGGAGTTGAATAATTTGAATATGAGTTAATTTGCAGAATAATTGCCTTGACATCATGCATTTATCTTACTATCCGACACGTGTGTGTTATATAACATATATTACATGCAGGGTCGGTTTGAACTACTGCATAATACTAATATAATATCAGATGATCTAAGGTCACATGGCGCACAGGAGGAAGTTGGTGTCTGCTCCAGGATGTGACGCTGCTCAAGGCGCTGGCGCTCAGTTTAAAGAGTCTGGACTGGAGCCTAAAGTTTGGATGTTTGTGATCGCCGTGTTCAGTGTGGAGTGTGGGAAAGAGAAGATACAGTAATAATCAGCTGTAATTTCCATCATGGAAAAGCCCAAGTCCGTCCTGAAGAATAGGTATGTTGTGCATGCATCAAACTTGGCATGAGTGGCATATTGTGCTTTTGCAGGAGTTGTGGAATATTCTGATCCTAACTCATTTACGTTTCTAATTTATTATAAAGTATGATGTTATTGAATGTTATTTTCTATATTACTTTAAACGTTGTCCTGTATTTTTGCTGAACAGTTAGAAGATTATTGTAGATAATGCGCGCTTTCCCCTCAGTTAGCCTTCTGTTGCTACCACGTTTCTGACTTCTGTATTAATATACACTGAGAATCTAAGTCGTATGGACAAAACCAATTACATCTCCACAGTTTGCTTCTATAGATGGTCTAAATGTCCAAGTATTTGATGATTTTTAGCGTGAGTTTAGCAGTTTCTGCCGCCATCCTCCTGGTGTGAGTTCAATATGGCGGGCACACTCGGATTGTTAACTAACTTTAGATTTTTCATATAAAATGCAGCTTGCTTAGATAAATATGTTTCTTTCCAGAATGCCACTACAGGACCTACCCCTGTTGAGTTCCCAGGGATCTTTGTTACACCTGACTAAGAGGGGGAACAAACGAAAGTCCCTGAGCTGCCTGTGTGAGGGTCTGGAGGTGGAGTGCACCCCCACAGACTGCATCCAGCAGTGCTCCCCTCACAAACACCAGCAGCTCCTCAGCAGAGGCAAGGAGAACGATGACAACCACTTCGTCATCGCAAGAAGATCCCGAAGAAAAAGGGAACAACAATCTGGTAAAAACATACGCATGAGCTGTTTTTTATCCACATTGAACTCACTAGTAACTTATTGTCTTTTGGGTTTTATATAAAGGCCTTTCGTGGGATCAGCTGCCGGATGAGCTGCTTCTGAAGATGTTTTTCTACCTTCCTCTGCGGGAGCTTCTAAAGATGGCTTTAGTTTGTAAACGATGGAATTGCGTGGTGTAAGTTCACATGTTACCTTGGATGCAGTTTCCTGAAGGGGTATTTTTTTTACATTGTATTGATTGATCTTCTGTCTTCTATAGGTTTGATGAATCTCTTTGGCAAAGTGTGGATCTGGAGGGTCTGACTCACATGGGCCCTGCTCTCCAGAACGTCCTGAAGACTGGAGTCCGCAGACTGCGCTGTCCGCGGGCCTTTGTGGAAGAGCTACAATTCACAAGTACTGGGTGAGAGCACTACCATGTCTCCAGTTTGTTTACTCTTTACGCCTGTGTCCTTCAGAGAACTATTAATTGTGTGTTCATTTTACTCCTGCAGATCATTAAATTTGGTTCAGTTGGACTTGTCAAGTTCCATTATTCCAGTTGCCGCTCTAGAGAGTATTATCACAAGTTGTACCCAACTACAGAATTTGAGCTTAGAGGGGCTTCAGCTCTCTGACACAATCCTTCAGTAAGTACAACCACGCTGGATTCATACCTGCAAAAAGTCTCCTTAATGCACCTTTTAACTGCACTAAAAATCTGGGCCATATCGGGCAGATCTCTTAGAATCACTCGAATACTTTGAATCCCTTATTAAGACGCACCTGGTTTTTAATAATGGTTAGAAAGAGACAAGTTTTCAATTTTGTGTATATATATTTCTTATGCTGTTTTTTACTGTCTGCTCTATAAATATTTGAGATTTGATCTCTATGAATAGTACTGTTCATCTACTGTTTATAGTTCAGTTACAACTTCTCAGTAATATCTATGTTCTTAACTGCAGTAGAATGCAGTTGTTTTTAGATAAGAAAATCCTACTAAAACCCTGTATTGCTTTATACTTTTGAAGAATTTGCATGTAATCGGTTGTATGCAAGAAGTGCAATATGTAGCAATTTTCAGGCCAAAATTATGATTTTGAAAAGAATTTTGAAGGTGTAGAGGGTTGCAGATTAGACTGTTACCTAAACTACTGGTTGATTTTGTGTGTCTGTAGATGGCTGTAGCGCGCTCCCGTTTTGTTCTGATAAATGTGTTTGTATCTTTCAGCTCAATGGCACAAAATGTCCGCCTCGAACAACTGAACATCAGCGGCTGCTCTGGCTTTTCCTCTGGCGCCTTAGACGAGATGCTCAAATCATGTGAAAGGTCTGCATTTGAACCCTTTGTATAAGATGAGATCATGAGAACCTTAATTCTTTCCACAGTGGAGACATTTCTTTGTTGAAGTCTGACTTGTTTGTACCCAATATTAACCTTCATTTATCTTGTAGGATTTTACAACTAAATATATCGTGGTGCGACTTCACAGCAGATCATGTGAAAAGTGTAGTTCACAATATGAGCCCCAGTGTCACTCACCTGAACTTCAGTGGTTACAGAGAGAATCTGACTCTGGACGGTGAGTTCAGTCATGTTTTCTGAAGGTGCTTTGTCATGTAGTAATGTGAAAACTTCAACACTAATAATGACTACATTGTTCTAGATATCAAAGTACTCGTGTCAAGATGCCAAAAGATGAAAGTTTTAGACCTGAGGTAAGCCATTTTGAGAACCATTATGCAAACATACCATTCTTTTAATCATGTTACAACATAGTTCCTTCATCAAAACTTGAAACTCAAACCCTTCAGTCTAAAAGCTCATGTTTTTTCATGCAAACTCAGAGCTTTTGACTTTCCACTCAAAATAAATATGATTGAACGCTGCTCGAACTCCTAAATCCATCAATGTTTCCGATATCTCATGAACGCAGCATTAGTCCTGTCATAGTGTGATATAATTGTACCTCTATGACGCCATATTCAGCCAATTTCCCATTAAAAAAAATAGCAATTTTATTTTCTTAAATTTAGTTTTGGCAATTTCTTACGGTATTAAATTTTAGGAGGTTCAAAGTGGAAAGATTTTTTTATTTGAACCTGTCACCATATTTTTCTACTGAAGGTATTTTACATTCTGAAATGACAAAGTTGTTTGTAATTAATTATAGTTGACATTATCATTTTAAACGGTAATAATAATGCATAATCGACTAATGTTCAAGACAAAAGTGATGCCTGCTCAACTGTTGCAGTGATAGCACACTCCTGATGGTGGACAGCTTTCCGGTCCTGGCTCAACTCAAGCACCTGGTGCATTTATCCATGAGTCGCTGCTATCACATCCATCCGGCTGCTCTGAGGTAGAACGACACACAGTTGTGATAACTTAAATTTTATATAGATTTAAGCAGATTCGTTTACACTTCTGTCTGCAGTGACTTGGTAACCACGATCCCAACGCTCTCTGTGCTGGACGTGTTTGGACTCATCAACGACAGCCATTTGCCAATTTTGAAAAAGGAAATGCCTCGTGTCGCCATCAACACCAGGCCCTTCTCTATTGTCGCTCGCCCCACTCCGACTGGGAAACCCCTCAACTACTGTGACAACACCATGTGGACCCAGCGCTGTCGCCTCAGGGTTAGACTGTGATCAAAGGGATTTTATGTGGCGTACAAGAGCAATAGTTCACCAGTTCTTTTATTGGTAATTTTGGAAAACGCTCACTAGTTGTTTTGAAATGTTAGAGGAAAAGATGATTATCAAAGTTTTTGATAGTGTTCTAATAATGTTTTTTATTTATTTTATTTTGTATTTTGAAAAGACTTGTGCACAATGTAAATCTCACTATTCTGGGGATTACAGGGTCCCTGTTTACAAAGCTATAATGTACTGAATTTTTAGGAGCTACATTTTAACTACGTTGCCTATAAACTTGAATATGAAACGCTTTTAAAAGATGGCTGTTCTATGTCTTAGCTTTACAATTTTTAATTACTAAGGCATTAAGATTTCAGAAGTTGTAAAAATGTACCATCCTTATACTTGCAACCTTTTTTACAGAAGCCACAATATGTATCAAATTGCTCTTTTGATGTTTGTCTGGAGGTTGGTGTGTCAAAGGCGTGTGTGCTTTGTAAAATTGCTTTTTAAATCAGTATTTTCTATCTGGATACACACCCATAATGTTGCATTAGAGTTGTTGCCTCATTGTGAAGTTATTGGAGGTAATTGAAAATAAAGGTAAAGCTTGTAATCTTTTGTGGACATGATTGTGCCATGTTGTGGACCAACGTGGCACATATTATTAAACTTTATTACCGACACGAAGTCCAGATAAAGACATTACAAGCACATACTGTGCTTAGTGATTAATTTACTTTTCCCTCATTTATAAATTCCATACGGCATAGTTAGGCTATGCCACATGAGTTTGTGTAGCTATGACTAGATACAAAAACAAGTTCTCCAGCATTTTAATCCACCAATTTGGCACTACAAAATCTTTCAAAAATAGATAACATGTAATTTAGTGTATTTAAAACTGCCTTGAATTCTTTTGGCAAATTGCTTAGTTGGGAAAAAGTCAAAGCATTCGTAATCCTTGTTGCCATGCTCATTCAATCAGATGTACTGTTGGGTACTGTGCAAGTTCAATTCAACCACGAGACTAAATCCAGTTAAGTAACATTGTCTCTGATGCAAGTCCACGACGATGCTAAAAAAAAATAATTTGCTAGACAGTTCAGTTTTCCAAAAGCACAGTCCGAAGCTGATCCTCGTCACTCAAACTTATCGTCGCAATAGCACCGTCGTTAAACTCAAACGAGGTCCCGCCATCAACCACCATGCATGCGTCCCAGCACCGCGACCGAACGCACACCCTGAAAGGAACCACAGATAAATCAGTGAATATTTCATAACGTCAGGGCATGCTGGCATTTGCAGAATCACTGACTTGCTGACGAAACCCCTCTGTCGGCTGCTGGAGAAGACTCTGTTCTCGATGGGCTCTCTGATGCTGAAGAACAGCCGCTTCTCCTCAGGGCTGAACACCAGGGACTCGTTGTAGGCGTCAGTAACTTTGGACAATCAAATGAGAACAGTAAATATGCTTGCACCTCTGGTCAGACTCGTCACAACATAATAGGGTCGTTGTGGACTAATGGAAATCTTGTCTAACCACTAAGTAACTAAATGATCTAAAAAAATTAAAAAAAAACATGTATCTGACTCAAACTGTATTCACACAACTTAAATTTAATGAAAGACCAGTATTTAGGCATAAAGTCAATGAAATATCGAGGGTGAAGTGTCTTGCCTAAGGACACAATAATAGTTTGGCACTTTACTGCTACCGTAATGTGGCACCTTTACAGAAGTCTCCCATCACACTACTAACCAAGTCCTGCCCTGCTTTGCTTCAAAGGTCTGACAGGATCTGGCTTTATAAAGGCAGGTATGGCATGGCAGAACTATTAAGCCATTTTTTTATTATTGTAATAGAAATAAAATACCCTTTCAACCAAATTTTTTATTTGTCAACTTTGAAATCATTGACTACAAAGTCCCTACAAAATAATCTTACCTTTCTTAATATTTTCAAGATTTAAGGGAAAATCCAGATCACCTTGGGCCCTCCCTGTAAAACAAGACATTTCAGAAGACTTCATATGGGGAATGGGGGGGATATAATGATAATTAAAATGTGGCTGACCTATTTTTAAAACTTCTTCCACAGATTGTTCAGTCAACTTGTTTATGTTGTAGGACCTAAGAATCCAAGATCATCACCTGTGTGAGCAATTATGTTTGTGCTCTGAATGTCTGTCACACGTCACTGAATACAATGAGCCATTACCAAGCTTTGGAGCCAGTGCCTGTGCAAACGCTGAGGCCTGAACTTTTCTGCTTCTCCCAAGGCCCGTCGTCCACTGAGATCTCGTAGTAGGAGGCCCTATGGAGCAAGAGTTTAACATGACGTTTTAACTTCACCCTGCAGTGGACAAAGACGTGTGTGATGAGCGGTGAACAGATGGTGGTGGCATCATGCAGTGGAGGGAAGCACAGGAGTGAGAAGCAGAATGCGTCTAGGCCTGTCACGACTACACATTTTGACGGACAAAAGTTATTGTGATTAGTGATTGTATTGGTGCCATCTGCATGTAAAAGCCAGATCCCATGCAAACTCTGAAGCTAAGCAGGGCAGGGCTTGGTTGGTACAGTGATGAGACATCTGGGAACACCAGGTGCTACTGTGGCTGTAAGGTGCCAAACTTTCAGTGTCCTTAAGTAACACACTTCACCCACATTGCCTTGTATGAGTCTGGTTTGCTGGTTTGTGTGTGAATTATTGTTGTTGGTTGGAGGCAGATGTGGCTACAGTAGTAGCTGATCACCACTTTGAATTGAGTGAAAGAACAATGCTGTGAAGTTTGATTTATTTTATTAAATATTTCCTTTTATTGTAGTTTGAAACTTTGATATTCCAGCTACAAATATTCCAGAAGTATTTCATTTTCTTGAACAATAGCTGAAAAGTCATCGTTTTAGAATTAAAGTAGTACTGTGTAAAACTGTGCAGACGGGCCAAAATATATTGTTTTATTTATTAGTTATTGAACAATATGTTGTTAGCCTTGATCATGACAGGCCTACATGCATCTACCATTGACAATCATGCACTTGCTACACACAGACACATACCTGGAGGAAAGGGACTCCCCGATAAAGATTTCATTCAAACTTCTGACAGGAAGGAGGAATGGCTGTGAAAAGCTCTCAGGTCGCGCTCCTGTTTCTAACAAGATTTTTTGTAAGGAGGAAGTTCAACACAATCAAACAAAAGACAACTATTTACGTACTGCTTTGGCCATCAAACATTGTGTTGCGGTGAGCCTGGTTGTGCTGCTCCAGGCTCAGCTGCTGCTCATGGAGATCCACAGGTGTTGGGTTAATGCCTGTGCCCTCGAGGTGAAGACGAATCCTCTGCCGCCACAGCCATCTTATACAGAACAACAGAACAATAACAGAACAATGCAATATTATGTTTGTTTAAACCACTGTCAGCGAGATTTCCAATGAAAAAAGCGTTGATCAATAATGTTTCAACTGCTTGTTAAATTACAGGTTCCATATCACCATAGCAACACACAGCATTGAGGAAAGTTCACTTACAGTTGCATTATAAAGTGACTTTTAAAAGGTCTAATATATAGCAACGTGTTTCAATAATTTGCTAAACATGCTAAATATTGATTGTCATATGTTTCATTTTGGTCATAAAAACTGTTGCTAAAAAAATAAAAGAAAGGGAAGTCTATACCGGATCTTGCCTAATCGAGTAGTGAGTGTTTTGACCATGGGATAAGTAGATTAAACAACTCAGAGCCGGTTGGTTGTCTAGTTTAAACACTGCTCTTCGTTGTTTAATCCTTACATATACGTGATGACATGTATTGGGTTTTATTGTCCACAAACAAGCTTCTCAAAAACTGCAGTTGTTTAAAATTGTGTGTCTTCTCAGAGCTGGTTTGTCCACGTTTTAAAGCTCACCATTGTATCGCAGACATACCTGAAGTCGCCCCGAAACAGTTTCTGCAAAGCCTCAGGAAACGCGCTCGTGTAGCGAACCGGTAAGCACAGGTGACCTTCTGACCTTCAGTTATGACACAGAGGAATGTGAAAACAAGGAAGCACACAATCTAGTAAAGGTATTAAAAGTCTGAAGAGTTCCTCAGACATTTGACAGACTAATTTTGATGTGTAAACAACAGATATACCTCTCAGGGTCTGTATTAACTCCAACAACCGGTTTATCCTTACTCAAAACTTTACTGGCAACAAGCAGCATTGTCCCATCACCTGACAAAACAAACTGCAGTTAGGTGCTTCATGCAACAAATCCAATTGTTTCTAAAAGCTATTGTTTATTTCACCTTTTTGTATGCGGTTGTAAGCAATGTTTCAAATGCTTTAGTGTGAAATAACTGAAATGGAAATGTTCAACACAGATAAAACCTACCTCCAGCTGATATAATTGCGTCTGACCATCGTACAATCTCCTCATTATATTCACCTCTCTTTACCACTCTAACGTTGATGCCTTCTTTCCTGAAAAACAGGAGCACACTTATCAGTCTGGTAAACAGTTTGACCTAAACTTGGTTCGTACCTCAAGCTTTTGACAATGTGCTCCACGTTATTGGTGTGAATGCTGTGTCTTTCCAGAAGGCCACTGTAGCTGGATCCCTTCAGAGCAAGCTACAACACAGTTTCTCTTTAGTCAGATAAGGTTATAATAATAATCACCACATTACATAGGGGTAATGGACATCCTCAGGCAGACTTACCAGCTGCTTTAGGTCCTCCTCAGATAGTCCAGCGTACCTATATCTCTGCTGCTCAAATTCATAGCGTGTAGTTTTAGTTACCACGGCCACTTTTTCAGGTCTAAATCCTGTTTTAGGCAGGGACGAAGGGTTGAATGGGGAAGTGTAAAGCTGGCGGCGTGGGAGTCCACGCAGCTGGACAAAAGCACGGCGTCCACCGCACACTAGGCTGACCACAGAGCACCGAGGCATTTTCAGAAACAGAAAGGCGAACATAAATTAACAAGGCTGCAATCCGTACGATCTAAATGGAGTTTGCGCTTGTCATAATAGACAGCTCGACACACATCCACAGCCTCAAAGAAGGTCACTGAAAGTCTTCAACAATTCGTCACAAGCACGGGGTATTTACATCATGTCCTGTAAGATTACGAAGTGTTGCAAACGTAACAAATGTTGTAACAATGAGTATGAATAATCAGTATTCTTTTTTTTTGTCTTGTTATTGCTGTTACCAACAGAGCTAAAATTGCTAGCAGCTTGCTGAAACTAATTTACCGACTCCATGGGCGGACACGATAGGTGGTTTTTCACACCACCAACAAATCCGTGAAGAGTTCACAGTGAATTCAACAACCGACAGTCCGCGGGTAAAACACATGTGTGAAATGAAGAAAAACGCTGTTTAAAGCACCTCCGCTCCCCGTGAAACCCATGGGTGCAGGCGAGCACACGGGCACGTGGCCTTCCAGTGACGTCACACGCACGACGTACCCCGAGTCCACATGGAGCACGTCAGCAGTGTTTTGTTTTTGTTAAGAGCGGTTCAATCATAGACTTATAACTCTTTATATGTCTATGGGTTCAAGGGCTAAGAGAAAATGGGTATGTTACTAGTTACTGAGATAAAAAGATTTCTATTATAATATGACTTGTTGTGATATGATATCATACTAATGATATCACACTGTTAGTGTATTTTTTTTCAAATACTTCTGCTATAACAAGATAACACACCTTTTGTTTAATGATGAAAAAACAAAGATAGTGTGCATTAACATCAGAGCGAACGAGCTGGGTTCAAAAGAAAATATCTTTAGCTTGAATAATTACTAAAGGAATGAATGGCGGCACGGTGGCTGAGTGGATAGCACTCTCGCCTCTCAGCAAGAAGGTCCTGGGTTCGAATCCTGGTTTCTGAGTGGAGTTTGCATGTTCTCCCCGTGTCTGCGTAGGTTTCCTCCAGGTACTCCGGTTTCCCCTACCACTAAAAATATGTACAATAGGTCTGGCATGCGCCTCCTGTTCGGTGACCCCGCTCCCATCTCTGTGTGGAGTGAGAGGACAAGTGCCCAAAAATAACAATTGTAAACCGCTTTGTGACTCTGGTCTGTGAAAGGCGGTATATAAATAAAGATTACTTACTAATAGTTACTATTGAGTTAGAAGACGAACATCCCACGTGTTAACTGTTCATCTTAACAATAGGTACATTTATCTTTTGAGTCAGTATATATTCTCATGTTGTTGAAAAAGGATCTTTGGGGAGCCATAAAGATTTGTACATAATATCCTCTCCCTTTCAAGAGTAAAGAGATTCAATTCAAAATTATAAATAGGATTTATCCAACTAACAAAATCCTGAGGTGTAAATTTAAATTGGATGTGGACAAATGTGGATTCTGTCAGACGGTGACAGAGGATTTAGATCATTTATTTTTCTCTTGTGAATCTGTCCAGTTATTCTGGTTTGATACGGATCGAAGGAATTTTACTGCCAAGTTTGGCTATTCATGATGTAATGTTTGGTATTTCCTCTACTAATAGTTTAACTGAATATGGTGTTAATAATCTTATATTGTAAGCTAAACATTACATTCACAAGTGCCGTTTTTTTAAAACCATCCCGAACTACATTCATTGGAGGAATGAGTTCAAACTATTCTATACTTCACTCAATCTCATAAAATCTAAGAATGCTACTAAACTTTTATCATTTATTGACACATGCCCTTTACATTTACAGAGGACAACAAACGTCTAAGTGTATGCCCTGGTTTTTGTTTTAGTTTTTAGTTTGTCTTTTTTGTATTTGTATATCATGATTGTTATCTGTATTTTGAGGCATCTGTTTTGTTTATATTATGTTTAAATATATAATAAAAAATAATAATAATAATAATAAAATAAAAAAGATTTGTACATAAAGACTACAATATGTTTTGGTGCTCAATATTTTGTTTTTATTTATATGGTGGAAAATGTTTGTTATTCATTGCAGTATGATTACATTTTATCTGTAGAGGGTGGGCTAACTCATTATTGGTTCATCCTTGGGCCTTTTCTCCAGTCTGCCCCTGGACAGCTGTGGCTACAGTAGCAATTACCTCCACCATGTATGAAGTGGTTGAAAAAGGCCACTAAGGAAAGTCTTCTACTTAGTGCATATTGAGCGTCTCATACTTAGTGCATCCTTATTATTATTTTGATGATAAAGACATTACAGGAATACAGAGACTATCTAACTGAAATTTCCTCCCCTCGGGGAATATTGTGCCTAATTTCCCTGTTAAGATTAAAATATCCGTTACAAAGGATCTCTTAATCTTAACAGGGAAATTATGCATTTTTAAGAAAGTTGAAATTACATTTTCATTCATCTGTGCAACCATAAGATATATTCCAAACTTCTTTGACCTATTTCAGGAAGTATTCTTCACAACTAATTACATTGAACCTCACAGGGGAATATGTTTCCATACTGTGTGAGGGCACTTATTACAGTACAAGCTCTAGTTTTCTGCTAATTGTGGTGTGCTGATTTACTCTGTGGAATTGCTTTAAACTATAAAGTCTCCAATCAGCTTGTTTATCTTTTAGGATTATGGATACCCTGTTGCTCCATTATATTTACTCCAAATTCTGTACTAATTTATTAGGAAAAAAATTAAAAAATATGTTTTGAATTCAAGATATAAACAGTACTGAGGGGGGTCTGAACAGAGGTTAGTAGACATTTAGGGATTTGTCTGTTTACAAGTGATTCACAAGTTTATGTTTGAGGCTGGGTGTGGGTGTGTGCGTGGTGCTATTATAATTTATTCAGATGGGTTTAAATATGACGGATGATTTTATATACCTTATCACCACCAGAATGATAGCCACTATCATTCTGGTGGTGATACCACTGCGGCCAACACCAAGAACATCAGGAAATCAGAAGGATAATAAGAGGAAATAAAACTCACATATACAGTATACTGTAGAAAATGACAAAATTGAGGAAAGAAATCAATCAGGGATCGAGAAACGCAGTCATTACATTACATTTGGAAACAATAGTTATCACTGGAAATGTGCAAGACCTAGTTCAGGGAACAATGAGAAAATTCACTTTTTGAAAATAGATATTTGCTTTATTCAGATAAAAGAGATAAAATATCAATAAAGGTCGCTTCTCTTTGTGTTACAATAAAAGGTTCTTACTTACAGCTGAAAGTATGTCAGAGGATTGTGATGGGAGGATCCTTCATCTCTCTCCAAAACGTCTGGATATCATCGTCCCTATACTTCACGACACAAGCAGCATCATTCCACATTTCACCAGACTTTCAACCCTGAAGATTTACAACCAGGAGGTATGATTCTTTTACAATTGTTGGTGTTGTACATTTTTACTACATTTATTTGTTTATTTTACTAAATGAATTATATGTAGAATATAACATGTATTACTTGATTCTACATGTATATCTTGTTTTCTGCAGCAACATGCAGCGTATGAGAGAAGGAATTCACATTCGGGCCATGAAAGCCAAAAGGAAAGTAGAGGAGATCTCCAAAGAGGACATCCAGGCTTTCTTCAAGAAGAATGCATTTGTGCTCTTCACTGTTGGAGCAGTGGTCGTCGGTAAGCAGAAACCAGCTTTCTATGTCATAATGAATGTTATGTCAGCTCTTTAAGAAGACTTTGTCATTTTACCAGGGATAATCCTTGGGTTTGCTTTACGACCTTACAAGATGACCTACAGGGAAGTGAAGTATTTTTCTTTTCCTGGAGAACTGTTGATGCGAATGCTTCAGATGCTTGTGCTTCCTCTGCTCGTTTCCAGTCTAATCACAGGTGCACTGCATTGTGTGTTTGTTTCTTTTGCGCATTATTACAGTTTAACAATATTAAAAAATAATGAAATATTGAAAATGCTTCATTTTCTATCTTAGGAATGGCTGCTCTAGACAGCAAAGCTTCAGGCAAAATGGGCATGCGAGCAGTGATTTACTACATGACTACAACTATCATCGCTGTCTTTATCGGGATTCTGGTAGTCCTCATTATTCATCCTGGGAAAGGATCTAAGGAGGAGTTTGGAAAGCAGCGGACGATAGAACAAGTTAGTCCAGTGGATGCCTTCCTAGATTTGATCAGGTAACAAATAAGATATGACTGTTGATATGAAGATATGACTTTGTTTTGCCTTTACAACCTTTAATATTACTTTCATATGTCAAATGTCTTATCTGTTTTTTATTTCAGAAACATGTTTCCACCAAATTTAGTCCAGGCATGCACACAACAGGTGAGTAAAACAAGTCTCTTTTGCCTCAATGGAAAACACACAAATAACTCATTTATCAGTTTTCTTCCACTTCAAATGTCCAAGTTTCCAAATCCATTTTTATCTTTTAATATTTTACAATACAATCATCATCATTCACACACCAAAAAACTAAGCATATCTTTTTGATAGGGTGCGTCTCTGGACACAACGCTTGTGCATTTTGATATATTACAACCACAAAAAATATTTTATTTTGGATGTTTTACAGATACAGACAACTCGGTTTTTGTGGGGTTTTCAAACCTGAACAGTGTGTCACGCATAAGTGAGCAGACTTAATGATATAGGAATCCAGCAGTAGTCCTGTATTTTGCTTCATCCACTTTCCCATGAGCTCTGTCACTTTTCCTTGTCCCTGCTGAAGAAAACAAACCCATGATGCTTATGCGGATGGTGTTTTTAGTCTGGAATAGTGTTTGTCTTGAGCAGTGTTAGTCTTGAGCCTTCAGGACATTTTCTAGCCATAACTGCTATTTATAGCTTATACTTTGCAAATTTAATTTAATATGGTTTTTTTAAAGAACATAACCCTTGCAAGAAATGAGTAACCACTGTTTGACTAATATTTCCCCATGATGAGCTGTGGATGTCTGCTGCTCCTCCAGAGTAACCATTAGCCTCGTGTTTGCATCTGTGATCAGTTAGTTTGGGTAGACAGCTGAGTCTAGCAGATTTGCAGTTGTGTCATACTCTTTCTGGGAGGGAATAAACAGTGCTCTGTGAGACGTTCATAGGATGGGAAATGCTTGTATCTACTAACTATGCTTTAAACTTCTTCCCAACTTCCCCTGTGACCTCTCTCTGGGGGGTCCTTGGACTTCATGATGTTGTTTAGTTACCAATACTCACCGACCATAGGCCATCACAGAACAGCTGTAACTATACTGAGAGTTACATTCATGTATATTCTATTTAATCGTAACACTGCAAAACATGATACAATATGAGGTAATTCAATTTTGTTTAAAAACAAGTCAAGCAATGCTTGAATTAGTTAATTTGAGTACATTTGACTGTCTTAAAACACAGTTTGCTGATGACAAATTACAATTAAAGACAATTAATCTATCATTACAAGGGAATGTTTTTGTTACTTTTGAATGTCTTGAAAAAAAAAAAAAAAAAAGGTTTTTCCCATTGGCAAATATGGTTTTAAGTCAGTTGATGTTTGTGGTTGTAACAATGGTGAAATGTGCAAGAGTTAAAGCTAACCGGACACGTGGACAATCACTGTAAACTTGAATTGTGGAGATAGAAGAACAAGTACACTCTGCTCCACTAGTCGTCTGATTTGAACCAATAAGTCATGCCTTTAAGTTTTACAACATTTGGGTTTCATTGATGTCTTTTCTCCTCATGTGGATTATATCGTTTCTTGTAGTTCAAAACTAAATATGGAAAGAGGACGTTTTACGTGTCAGTGACTGTGAATGATACATTCTTCAACTCAACCAACGGTACCCAGGAGCTGATGGAGGTCACCCACGAGGAGGTGATCCCGGTGCCAGGTCAAGTCAATGGTGTCAACGCCCTGGGGCTCGTGGTGTTCTCTATGTGCTTTGGTTTAATAATTGGCAACATGAAGGAGCAGGGTCAGCTCTTGAGGGACTTTTTTGACAGTCTCAATGAAGCTATCATGCAGCTTGTTGCTATAATTATGTGGTAAGATTAAATGTATATAACAAAGACATTATAATAGATATTCAGTGGTGTGATTTCAGCGTGTCCATGTCTGTAGGTATGCTCCTGTCGGGATTCTCTTTCTTATCGCAGGGAAGATTGTTGAGATGGATGACTTGACGCAGATGGGTGGACAGCTGGGGATGTACACTATCACAGTTATTGTCGGCCTCACGATCCATGCTGTCATCATTCTCCCAACCCTTTATTTTGTAATCACAAGGCAGAACCCATTTCTCTTTATTGCTGGGCTTCTCCAGGCTCTGATTACAGCTTTAGGGACTTCATCCAGGTGTGAAAATAACCCACAAATTGCTTGCAATGCGTATGATCAGTGTTTGTCTAAGATATCGTGGTATTAAACAGCTCAGCAACGCTGCCAGTCACCTTCAAATGTCTGGAGGAAAACAACAGAATCGACAAGCGAATCACACGTTTTGTGCTTCCGGTCGGAGCAACCATCAACATGGATGGAACAGCTCTGTATGAGGCACTGGCGGCCATCTTTATCGCTCAGGTCAACAATGTGGAAATGAACTTTGGGCACATCCTTACAATTAGGTAAGATATTCACAAGCCAAGACTTTTAGCCTTGTAATTTACCATGTGTATGTTCAGTATCACAGCCACCGCAGCCAGTATCGGTGCAGCAGGGATCCCTCAGGCCGGCCTGGTCACCATGGTGATTGTTCTGACCTCAGTTGGACTACCGACTGATGACATCACCCTCATCATTGCAGTCGACTGGTTCCTGTGAGTTTTTTTGTCTATTGTTTTGTTTATAATATTCCTTCCTCTTCTTAACAATTATATTTTATAAAGGTGTCTTCCACCAAAATAATTGCACTTGCTATAACTTTGCACACGCAGTTTAGCACCTGTAGGCCGTCTAGTAAATATACCTCTTTGTGAATGATTGAATGATGTCATCCAAAGATTAAAAGATGTTGTGTCAATAACAGCCATTTACCTTTACCATCCTAGAAAAGATATTGTTGATTTTTCCAAGCCATTTGCAACGCATCACTATAGCCCCGTTTCCACCAGCCCTTCTTGGCTCTACTCTCCCTGGTTGTGTTTCCGTTATGCTTAAGTATCTGGTACCATATCCTAGCAACCTACCCATAACAAGTATCCAAATAAATCACTGTCAGCTATACCAGCTCGGCCTGGATAGGACCAGGGCCAAGCTGGTACTAGAGCCGAGTAAAGTAGAGTAGGGGGAAACAGGGATGATGTTCTTTTTTATTGGTTTTTAAACATTTACAGTCCTTTCATATGCAATCATTGTCCACTAACAGGTATCGCCTTCAAACTGTTCCGAGATCCTCATTGTTAAAGGGGGTCAACAGCAGTTTTGTATCAGCTACTACCTGGTGACACACTTCTCTACTGTCCCATGAGTCTTGTGCCACATTATCCGTTTTGTATTAAATATTTTAGAATGAGCTTTAACATAGAAGCATAATTAGGTTTCCCAAATTAATCATTTCAATTAGAATATGCTTACCAGAAATTACTCCGCTAAGTGGGGTAATAGGAAATACCCTGCTCTGGACTATAGCGAAGGAGGGAGATAGTGAAAGCCAAGTAATAAACTGGGCATCGGAACAAACACAACACGTATCATATAACATCAACACATATTCTGGGTTGTATTGTGTTGTGAAATATTTTGTATATTAGAAGCAAATCCACTCTTTTACTGACATGTCGGTATCTGCAGGGACCGGCTCCGCACCACCACCAATGTTCTGGGGGATTCGATTGGAGCGGGCATCGTGGAGTTCTTGTCTCGACACGAACTCCGCAGTAAAGATGTGGAGATGGGAAACTCCGTGCTGGAGGAAAAGGAACGGAAGAAACCGTACAAACTCATCCCCCAGGACTGTGATCTGGACAATGACAAGCGTAGGCAGAGTGAATCTAAAGTGTAGGTCCTGATGCGCTGGGAGGAATATAGAGAGAAAATTACTTTGTACTTTGTCTAAACATAATAATTATCAAGGCTGTAGGGATAAGATTAACAAATAAAGAATGGTCCTCTGTTGTTCAGCCTATTTTTTGCTCTCCTTGGTGTTCATATAATTCACTAATGGTCTTGTGTGTAAAAGTAGACAAAGTGATTTTACTGACTCAGTTAGAAAGACAGAAAGATAGTCAGATAGATAGAAAGATAAAAATGTAGAAAGATAGATGATAGATTACTTTATTGATAGGGAAATTCAAGTGATTCAGTCATAAAGTACTTTTTTTTTTAAACAAAACAATCGGAAGTTATTATAGCTCCTTCCAATCCAGATCAATTTAAACTCAATTCACCCTTTATCCATGGCCGCCCTTCATCCATTTTCATCCATTTATCCATGGTCTGAAGTTTATCAAATAAGTTCTATATTGGTTGGCGTTCTGGATCAAATTAAACCCCACAGGCAGTAACCACATGTGGAGGAATTTGCTGATTTATCATTCTTGCACAAAGTCTTACATGATCAATTCAAAGAGGCAACAGGGTGAATAGTTATCTTATATCGCAGTTTTTTCACGTGATTAAAACAGTGTAATTGAGGACACAAAGAGAGTTTTGTATCAAAGACTTAATGTTTGTCATGTGATGTAGATGCTTTGGATCAAATATAGTTTCACAGTGGATTAAACACAGTCCAGTTGTGAAATAGCGTGAAGCCAGGAGATGGCGACAGACATCAGGCTACGCTCCAGCCCCACTGCCGGAGAAGAAGTGGCACCTGTGGGAGTAGTGCATGGATGAACCGAGAGCAGAACAGTTTATCTGTGAGCAGCTCATCTTCAGCATCATGCCTGCGGAGTCTGACCTGGGCCGTGCGCTCTGCATCATCACGGGGGCCTCCAGGGGCTTCGGCCGGATCGTGGCCAAAGAGTTGTCCCGGGTGGTGAAGCCTGGCTCGGCTTTTCTCCTGGTGGCACGGTCTGGGGATGATCTACGGAGTCTGCAGGCGGAGCTGACAGAGCTGGCCGACACAGAGGCTCCCAGAGGCGGCCTGCTGGTCCAGTGTGTGGAGGCTGACCTGGGTCAGGCCGAGGGTCTCCATAGGATCACCAGAGCAGCGCAAGACGCGGCGACAGAGCTCACGCAACACGTTTTATTAGTCAACAACGCAGGTCAGTCCATATGGTAAACATGACTGTTATGACCATAGAAAGTTCATCTCAAAACATTTGATTTGATGGTGGGTCTCCAGATAAGGCATTTTTAGCTGTTTTTTTAATCATAATGCGATAGAATAGATTGTGATACACTAAAGGCTGCAGGGTATGATACATTATAGACTTCAATGTAAGATATTAGAACAGTTTACTTTATACATAGTGACCATCAGGGCTGGACTGGCCATCGGGCGTACCGGGCAATGCCCGAAGGGCCGATGCCCATATTTGGGCCGGTCTGTCTGCCACATACAAAAAACATGTTTGTGAAAAGTGTAAATCCGTTGAGAAATGTTTGAGGGGAGCGCGCGTGTCCGCGGGGCTCCTGCTGCATGTACTCGAACGGGATTCCACCACCTCAGCGGCCGCAGTGTTCCCGCATCCAGCGGCTCTGAGCTGGACGCGGGAACCGCTCACCGGGAACCGCTCACAACACAACACTCACCGTGTTGTGTTGTGAGCGGTTGTACGGCTACTCAACGTACATGTACAACGTACATGTACCCAAGACCATAAACGCGCACAAGACCATGCATGTATTTTCGTAATTTGTGCACCCAATAAATAGACCGCTGCAGAAAACAGTCCGCGTCTCCCCTCTCCTCTAAATTAAAGCTCGGGTACCTAAATTTTCCATTGCATTAAAAGTTTATGTTTGAGCCCAAAAGTAAAATGTTGTGAACAGATTAAACAGATTTACAGCCAATATGCATTTCAGAACTTTTGACTAATTCTCATCCCTGTAACAAAAAATAGTATTGTCTGTGTCACCTCCCTCACTCTGAGACATGTTTATTACTCTGTTTAATGCAGACTATTGTACTGTATTTTATTGTTGAAACTGCAGACATCCTGATCCTCTACAGTATGCTTCCACATACTGTATAAACCAGGGGTCAACCTTTAGTGCCCCTAAAGTGGCTCCTGGAGCCTTTTCAAAAATGTCTGAAAATGGAGTGTGAGGGCTATATTTTATTTCTAGTTTGAATGTGGTTTCTGTAGAAGGAAAAACCTTCTTAACGTTTTTCAATGCTGCAAAAACTTGTATAAGTAATATTCAATTTTAACTGTGTGTGCGCATGGGTCCTAAAGATAAAGAGAGAAAGAGTCGATAAGACTGGACTAAGAATGAGAATGAACATTTGCTTTCAGTCAATGAGGAAGGACTGCTTCATGTTTGCGAAGTAATGAAAGGTTTTGTTGCAACACAAGGAACAATGAAGCTTTAAACACGTTCACTGAAATATTCATTAATCAAAAAGTCAGAGCACCTATTTTCAGACTTCAAAAACCTTCGCAAAGACGGTGAAAGAAAAGGCCATTAAGGACATTCAGCTCCAGGAAACTTCAGCCTGTGATGGATATGAACAGACAGTGCTGCAGGTGAACTCGGAGCCAAAAAGCAGATTTATTTACTCTATTTGTACAATTGCATGAAGGTTAAACTTAAAGCAGAGTTGTCACGTGGTGCGTCATTCTGTCCAGGACACGCTGCAATGAAAATACATGATAATCATGAATGGTTTTTATGTGTTTAGCCTTTACTTTGTCATTTAGATATTAGGCTAATATAGCTAATAAAGCTAATATAGCTAATGTAGCTAATACAGCTTCAGCCCCTGTTACCTTCATATAAGCCTTATACAACGCTGTTTTTTTTTTTTTTTGTCAAATAGGGCTCCTTGAACCTTTTGAGTTGCCTGGGCCGCTAAAAAGGAAAAAATGCCCGGGCCGTTTTTTGTCCCAGTCCAGCCCTGGTGACCATGATCTAGTTGTGCAACTCAAATTGCGTTTCGCAACTGCACCATATTGGACTTTTTAAGAGAAATTGTGCCGGTTGTGTAGTTGAAGATTGAAGACCTACTATTGCTCTTTCGAAAGCACAGGCCCCTAACCAATGGAAATATCCCTTGGGTAATAACTGGAGTTGGATATAGGTTACTCTGAAAAAGTAACTAGTCACTTATTACTACTTACTTACTAATTACTTTCAATAAAAAAATTAATTAGTTACTGCTTTGACACACTGGGGAACTTTAGTATATGTTTTCCAATTTGGTTTTACCGCAAATAAAAACTGAGTCTCAAGAAGGCATAAGCACCGTTATAAGAAACATGTTTGAGTGTTTATGAGTGGACCACTTTCAAAAAGCTAAATGTCGAAGCTTGTCTAACCACTGTTGGATAATAACTAATACATAGAATGGGATGATTTAGTTTTAAAATAGTTTATTATTATGGAATACTTCATGCGTTATTATTTTCTGAAAAAGTAATTTATTTACAGTAACTCAATTTTACTTAATTACAAAATTAATAGTCAACTCTATTCATCTCATGTATTCCTCAATATAGCATATACGTAAAAAGTAGTGTTTGTAATCACGTATTCTTGTAATTTGATTTAACAGTTTTATTTAATTCTCAATACTTTGGGAGGTCCTGTACACCAACGTTCTCTGATTATATAAGCTATACCTATTCACATGACTTCTATACAGGCCTTTACTGTAGGATGAAGCCTTATAAAGGGTGTAAAATTTGCACTATCTGTGAAGGCCACAGAACAAATTGCAAAAAATGCAACAGAACCTGAAATAGTAATAAGTGGGCGATGTCTTCGTACATATTTAATTACAAGCATTTAGAAGTTTATTTGTTTCTTGCAGGTTCTCTGGGAGACATATCTCGGTTCACAGCATCCTTTACTGACATGGCAGAGGTGAACTCCTACTTGTCTCTGAACGTCAGCTCCTTCCTCTGCCTCACTGCACAGATCCTTCAGGCCTTTCCTCAGCGTCCAGGGCTGAGGCGCACAGTGATCAACATCTCCTCTCTGTGTGCGCTGCAGCCGTTCTCCTCCTGGGTCCTGTACTGCTCTGGAAAAGCAGCTCGCGACATGATGTTTCGGGTCCTGGCAAAAGAAGAGCCGGACCTGCGAGTGCTGAACTATGCTCCTGGTGTGAATAAGTTATTAGTAATTATTCAAAAAGACAAATATGTGACACAGTTAAAGCTGGGGTAACCAACTTCCAATCCAAAAATACATTAACCATGTAACAAAATCCATCTAAATACTCCTTGGATGGTTTGGTTCTAGTATTAGTTTTCACATGCTACTGTCACGTCTTCAGCCTTTTAATTAGAATAATAAGCATCGGTCTTATATAGCTGTCTGTGTGCCTGACAGAAGCAAGGTAATCAATGAAAATTAATGATGGAGAAAGGTTAGGTACCCCAGCTTTAATAGGCTGTAATACCTGCATTATTGAACAGGCTTAGTATTATTATTTTTTGTTTAAATAAAGTATTTATCTAATAAGAACAAAGCAGTAACATTGGACAGACCAGATGCGCTGCCTTTAGTGTTATAGCAAGACCCTGCTAATGTTCAACCTGCTTAATAGAACCTGCTTGTGTGTTTGCAGGACCCCTGGACACAGATATGCAGCTGCAGGCCAGGACGAAAAGCGGCGATGCTCTGCTGCGGAAGTCCTTCAGTGAGATGTTCAGCGAGGGCCGTCTGCTCTCGTGTGAAGAGTCCTGTGCAAAACTCGTGAAGCTACTTTTGGAAAACAGCTACACATCTGGAGCACACATAGACTTCTATGACATTTAAATGAAACACACTGATCTTGTGTGCCTGGTGAAAACGCAGTAAACTTACAAGATTATACCTCAATATTTAACATTTTAGCATCTATTCAATTATAATCAGAGGTGAGTAGGTTCAACAAATACTCAAGTGTAGGCCTTACTGAATTGGCTTGGCTTTCCCCATAACACACTTTGAATCATATGTAACATTAGAAAATTAAAATTGCAATGTTGGACAGAAACATTGCAATTCGATATTGTGCCAAAATCGTGCACAGTTCTCCCACACGGTGTCACTGTACGGGGCGTTTCTCATGGGGTTATTTCCCAAGAAAAACAACCTCTCAGCCTCTTAACATTCAAATAGCACTTTTAAAGTAGCAATATGTAAGTTTTACATGTCAAGTCATCATTATGTGGCCCTTGTCAAAAGGCTTTAATAAAACATGCTCAGTTACAATACTTTTTAAACTGATAACAGTTCAGAGATATTTGGATTTCAAAATTAGTTTTATAGCCCCTATATCTGTTTATGTTTTCCTTTCGATGTCCCGCTCTCCGCTGTTTTACCAATCAGAAAGCTCCAGGTTGCCAGAATTCATTCATTAATGACAAAACAAGAAATAAAACCAGGATTTCTATCTTTGTAAAAAAGGTATTGATCATAGATTTATTGTTGACAAAACTCTTAATTCAGATGTAATGGTCCCAGCTGGATTCATCTGCATATCTGGCAACCTGAGTCAGGGAGAGTGGGGGAGTTTGCAGTACCACTTTTGGCCAGATTTTTACGTACTGCTCCTTTCAGCTCTTCAAAAAACTTTAGCCATTGTTATAGGATCCAATATAGAAAAGATATAGAGATACTTTATTGATTGCCATAGGAGAAATTAAGACATCCAGGTGTCCAGTAGCAGCAGAAACACATCCATCCATACAAACAAAACCAATAAATACATCATTCTAAAAGTAGCAAACAATAGTCATAGGAACAGCACTAACCACCTCTGCCCTTTATTTTAATATATGTGGACCACTACACAAGTCTATTTGCCTTAATTAAGAACAATCATTTTTGTAATACTATTATGATTCATATCTATTCACATTTATGTATTTTATTATAGCCCAAGATAATGAATTCCTCCTACTTTCTCTCTTCACCAGAAAACTTTAAAACTGCTGCAATAGAAACAATAGGAATACTGGAAAGGGCCCAGAATACATCATGGGAAAAATAAAAATGCACATAATTATTCATTCCATGTTTTGCTTTGTTCGTTGTTCCTTCTCTCTTGCTCTTATTTTATGCATTTATAAATACTGTCATTGTTATCCCCCACGTAGAACAAAATAAAATAAACTATTTGATGTATTTTTGTCCTTTTCTTATTCTAAATGAAACAAGCTTGCAACAATGGTTTGAATAATATGGTAGAAAACAACAGCCCATGTGTGTATAATGGTTGACCTCAGCCAACTTAAACAGAAACTACTCATTTGAACACAGGAAGTCTTTATGACTTGCAGTAGGAACTCCTCGCTTCCAGTCATGTGCCTCTGACTGATCCCCACAGATGTCCTGAACCAAAATACCCCTGGGAGCACCCACCCAAACAAGGGGGCTGCACCTACTCAGCACCTCTGCCTCCTTGCCCTTGGCCCTTGATCACTCCTACTTGCCCCTTCGCTATCAAGGCGAGGTGGTACAGTCCTTAGAGGGGCCGAATTTATTTTTGGAGCTGGTCCGTGTCTTGCTGTCTTGTTTGTAAAGAGGATTTCAGTTCCTTCAGCCCTTCAGATCCATCCCATCTCTCAGAGCTTTCTCCATTTGTGTGTGTGTGTGTGTGTGTGTGTGGTTTGCTGCGACTATGACAGTAGGAGGCATGGAGAACGCTCAGCTGTTTGATGCTGGAGACAAGGGTCGAGGCTTGAGGGCCACTAAGGAGCTCAGTGCTGGAGATGTGGTGTTTGCAGAACCTGGGTATGCTGCTGTAGTCTATAACAGGTATGTGGTTATGATTCTACCTACTGCACAGAACCAAGGAGGACTAGAATAGAATAAATGTCTGTATTATAGGCGAGTTTTTGTGACAATCATAACAGGGTCAGAGCATAGACCGTAGAAGGTATACGCTAGAAGAGGGTCCGACTCATTTGAACTTCAGTATGACGTGGTGTAGGATTCAATTTCCAAGACCGAGGCATCGCGTTGAGATGCCAGTGAGGTTTTGCATTTTACCACTTTCTTTGCAACAGGCTCGAGTCCACACACAAATGTTGTGCACAGAGCGCGGCGGAAATTTTTGTACAAATTAAGATTCAAAGATCCTTATTTTGTCCCACAGTGGGGAAATTTCAGTGTTGCATCACCACTTGCAGAATAGTAGGAATGAGGAGCACACAACACAAGAAAAATGAACAAAAACTAAATACAAACATAAAATGAAATATTTAACTTTAGCATAATAAAGAGGCAACAATACAAAACTGTATATTCTAGTGCAAGTACTATATAGTTGTTTGTATACATCTGTACATGTCAGCAGCATGAGGATATGGGATAAAGTGGCTACTGTATAAGTAAAGTGAGAGTGGACTTGTGTGGTTTTCTATTGCACATTCTGACAGTGTACAGATTATTATTGCACACATGTGGTTTCATATTGCATGTTGGAATGGAGTTTACATACACTGTGCAAAGAGACAGTTTGAATTTAAATGTCTGACTTTGTAAAGAGTAATGGTGTGTTCAGACTTATACCTTCAAAAAAGAAACTTGCATTGTATATTTTCAAATCAACAACAGTTCTTTTCAGCCTTATGCTGCTTTCAGTAATACAATACATTCGTACATCTATTATTATTATTTATCTCTATTATTGATTTAACCAATTTGACAACCAATGCTGTCAAAGAGAGAGAACATTTATGAGGTTGATTAATATTACACCTGAATGACACTGATAAAATAATGATAATGAAGATAAATAAACTAAAAAAAATAAATAGAGAACAAGAACTAATGTTGTCTTTTTTACATTATGGTTATTGTTCCGGTTTCACTACATAAATTACATATAAATCACAGTGGCTCAGTTGGTAGCGCATTGGCCTTTGAGCCTGAAGGTTGTGGGTTCAAGCCCACCATAAGACCTACTTCATGACTCCCACTGATGTTTGTTGTCGTTGTGTCCTTGGGCAATACACCTAACCCCACTTTGCCTGAAGCCCCCACTGAATGATCTCAGCTCCTGTGGGCTCACCACCTGCAGGAGGATCAGTGAGGGGCTGCTGCTATGTGTACTGTATGTATGCAATCTGAGTGCTCTTATTTCCTTCTTTTTCCCTGCTGTAATGTGTGCAACGATGACATTGAAATTTTCCCACAGTGGGACAAATGTAGGAATATCTAATCTTATTATGTATTAACTATCCATGAGGTCAAAATAATGACAAATGTGGTCCAACGTCTCAAAATGTTGTTTATGTCTCGTCTCTTAAAATGTGTTTTGTCCTAATTTCATGAAATATCATTGAGGTTGAAATCTGCTTTGCTTTTAACAATATTTAATGATGGCTGTGTGCTATATCTGAGCTCAAACAAATGTCCCGTGTGATTTTCCTAACTATTTTAATCTTCCTTTGTCTTCAGCATGGCCGCCAACGTGTGCCACAACTGCTTTCGGCGCCAGTCAAAGCTTCACCGTTGTGCCCAGTGCAGATTTGCCCACTACTGTGACCGCACCTGTCAAACTGCATGCTGGGAAGAACACAAGCTGGAGTGTGCAGCCATCAGAAAGATAGTCATGGCACCAAATGAGCAAGTCCGGTAAGAAGAATGAAAACAGAAGCAACAATCACTATCCATATGTGGTAGAAAAAGCACAGATTTGTCTTCCTACATTAAATGAATGAGAATAATATCCAGTGGTATCTAAACACCATGGTAACTTACTGATTACCATGGTAACCTACTGTACTGATATTGTATAATTGTTTTCATACTTTGTTGTGTCTTTGCACAGTACATTTCAAGTATCATATTAGGCACACTTTTCTTTTCATCCATTGTGCCAAACAAGAAAAGTAATTAGAATATGATAACAATAGTAATAATAATCCTAATAATTAATAAATAAAAAGTGCCTGTGTTAGCTCTAATTCACAGATGCAGATATGTTGTCAAAGAAATCTACAGTAAGTGCCATACAGAGAAGAAAAGATAAAAATGTATAAGAAGAGAAAATAAAAATAATTTAAAAATATATATAAAAAATATAAAAATAACAATAAAAAAGTAAAATAAAAATACAATACAATATAAAAAGAAAAATAAAATAAAAAGAAATTATTTTTTTTCATTGCATTTTCTTTATTTATTTTCATTTTCATTGATATTGTATAAGTGGAGCATCTCTCTCTTATCATGTTCAGTCTAGCCGGACGTGTTATGTGGCGCATCCACAAAGACACGCCGATCGCCACAGACACGCAGCTGGTGGCGGTGGACAAACTGGAGGACCATGTGGCCGATCTGGGAGAACAGCTCAAGGCCGACGTGAGCAGCTTCTTTAAATACTGGTCCTACTTCAGCAAGCAGCACTCTGCAGAATACATCGCCCACATCCTCGCCATTGTAAGTCAGACACAACTTCATATCATACTTGTTTCACTCTCAGACCTCATCCAAGAGTTCCAAGCGCAAGGTCCAGCTCATTAAGACTGAAAACCCGAGGGACAAGGCCTTCTTTGCGGCTGGACCCAAACTATGGATCCCCACATTCAACTGTAGCTTCTGTTTTCTTCTATGTTTTTATACATTTTATGGATTATATACTTTCTGTTCTTCTTTGATTTGACTGGTTTTGATGTCTTAAAACTAGAAAAGTTGGATAGGGCATTTCATTTTGTTGTCTGTTGGGAAATATGGTGGAGCAGGGGTCTTTCTGTGTGATGTTTGACTGTTCTTCACATGTCTACATAGGTTTTCTCTGGGTGCTCCGGTTTCCCTTACCACAAAAAATATGTACAATAGGTATGAATGTGCCGAGTGAGTGAAAGATGGTGATGGCTGGAGGCTTCAAGGCGCCAGAATGTTCAACGTCTCACTCCTGTCATCACTGTGTGTTTGGAGTAAAAGGAAATTGTATATATATATATATTTTTACTGTTCTCTTCTGTGTGGAAATATGGAAAGTCTTGTGTAAATAAATTGGATTAATTTGACTTAAATGGCACATGTCCGTCATCTTGTAGATTAAGTGCAATGGTTTTGCACTCAGCGACCAACGAGGTCAGCAGACGGTTGGTGTGGGCCTCTTCCCAAACCTGTGTCTTGTCAACCACGACTGCTGGCCAAACTGCACTGTGATTCTCAACAATGGCAAGTATGTTTGCACACAACACAGTACTATCCTGTACAACAGATCTAACTAGTCTTTTTTTCTCTCAGCCAGTCAGCGCTTAACTCTGCTCTCCACTCCAAGAGAAGGTTTGTATAAACTATTAGTTGCAACGGTAAAATTACCCCACTGTGGGAGGAATAAAGGATCTCTAAATCTTAATCTTGCTTGTTCAGGGCTTTTCCAGAATTACTTGAATGTCCACTGATACATTGTTAACCAATTAATAAAACTAAACCATCAAACTCCTGGAAATATGAAATGTAAAAAAAAAGATGTATCCCTCTTATTTATAGTAAAATCAAACATTCTGGGATGAACCTCGACCAGGTTGAGCAGGTAATACTATCACTAGTTAGTTATACCCCTATAGTCTGGAGTTTGATCTTTGTCTGTAAATAAGTCACCAGAGACCAAAACAATAGAGCCTCAGCTTCACAGAGAGTCCAGATTCTGTTTTTCTTTTATATCTACACAGTCTGCTATCTCGGGTTGGCAAGGGGTAGATTGGAGCATCTGCTCTTATACACTGGTCAATTACACCCAATTATAGACAAAAGTTTGAATAGTTGTCCAACAGTTTCATCAAAGCCCAAATTATTCCAAGAATCTCAGTGGTGAAAGACGTCTAATGTGTGTCAGCATTCACACTGAAAAGTTTGCTCTGGACCTTTTTTGTGCAGGATTGAACTTCGAGCACTGGGTACAATCTCTGAAGGACAAGAGTTGACTGTCAGTTATGTGGACTTCCTGAACTTGTCCGCTGATCGCCAAAAGAAGCTGAAGGACGTGCACTTCTTTGATTGCACCTGTGAGCACTGCACACAGCACATTAAAGATGACCTTATGACTGCAGCTGCAGAAGTGAAGGTGAGAGAAAAGAATCTGCTTAAAACATTGTAGCAAAAAGATATGGTCATGATATTGTATTACTTTCTATTAGCCCTCAGCTGATAAGGTCAAAGAAGTCAGTGTTCTCAGTAAAGAAAACCTGGAAAAGATTGTCGTAGCCCGTAATCAGGGAAACTTCCATGAGGTACGTGATTGATGTTATTCTTGAGGTGCGAGTCCTCGGTGTTGACTGTCTGCTTCTACAGGTGGCCCAGTTGTGCAGCGAGACACTGGAGAAGCAGGAGAACGTGTTGGCCAACACAAACCTGTTGAAGCTGCGGGCGCTCAGCATGGCGAGTGAGGCCTTATCTTACCTGCGCGTCTACTCTGAGGCTGCAAACTATGCACGCATGCTAGTCGAGGGCTACTCGTGAGTACTTCAGACATGGGAAAAAGAAGTGCAGCTAACCATAAGAGATATGGCTTAATAATGTGTTTGGTAATTTATCTAAAAGATAATAGTAGAAACTGCAGACTGGATTGGACTTCTTCTCAGTGGTTCCTCAGCTGCTGAGCTTTGGCTTGGACCGGTTATGTTCAAATGCCTGATTCTGGTTTTGATGTTCACAGACAGTTATACCATCCCAACAGTGCTCCGCTCGGGTTGGCCATCATGAAGGCAGGTGTGACCCACTGGCACGCAGGCCAGATTGAGCAGGGCCATAGTTTCATCTGTAAAGCCTATTCCATCCTCATGATCACTCATGGGCCGAACCACGCAGTCACCAGAGACTTGGAGGTTTGTTCAACTATGATGGCTTTAAGAAATCCAACAGACTTTAATCCCCTGCATTTGTGGTTTCAGACAATGCGTGCGCAAACAGAGATTGAGTTGAAGATGTTTAAGCAAAAAGAGAACGAGTTCCACACAATGAGGCAAGAAGTGCTGAAAGACGACAGCAAAGCTGACAAAATGATTTAATGAGAATATTAGAAAATACTTTCACCTTACAGTTATCTATTACAGCCGGTACTTTAATCCATGATCAGATGTTCTTGTGTTTAATAACTAAAAGACAAAACTAGTAAATCTAACTTAATTATTGCACTCACTGTATGGCATAATAACAGATGAACAATAAGAATGAATGGACTTGTACTGCATGTGAAAAAGCAAAAGATGTGCAAACACGATGAAAAGACACAGGTAGAAATGCAGCTACAAAATATCATCAGAGTTGGCCCTGAGAAGATGTGAGCTATATTCTCAATTGTAAGAATCTGAAAATGACAGAAACTGTAAACTGTCTGATTCCCAAATTTTTCCCAATTCTTCTTAAAAATATATACTTTGAAAGCATTGTACAGAGTAAAAAAACGGCTAAATTAAATAAGATTATTTCACAACATGACAAATATTTTACATTATAATATATTAATAGCAAAACAACTGTTTCCCCTTTTGAGATTGTTTCTATGAAATTCAGAATAGCAGAAAAACAATAAAGTGACAAGTCTCCGCACCTCAGTCTGTTATTGCAGCACACACAGCTCCGTGCTGGACTGGCTGTGGCCGCCCTCGGCCTCCAGTCCGTCCTGGGACTGAGGCTCCACACTCTGCTTGAGCTCCATCAGGAGCTCCTTCCCATCACTGGGCGGAAGGTTTCCCAAGAAGTACTGAGGCGCCAACTCCACAAGCCTAAACACACACACACACACAAACACACACACAAACACAGAAATTTAATTAATTGATAATTTCAAAAAGTTCATAGTTTCCCAGATAAAAAGACAGTGTGCTTAATGTGTGTTTTTGTACCTGCTTAGGACAATGGATGAAATTTAACTATACGTGTTGAATCTGGTTTTTGACTCATTGATTAACATACAGTACACAGCCTAATTTCTAACTATTAAATAAACAAACATAAAAACGTTAAGAATAAATTGAAAGATATGGTTTTCTTGAGAAAACTATGAACATGGTATCCTATAATATTTTTTCCCACCAACGCTTGCAAGTTAATGATAATTAATGATAATTATGAATGACAATAATTCACTGAAATGGATGTTTGACACAAACCTACATTTACATTTTCATTTTTTAGTGGAACAGTATTTATCTTGTTCTGTCAGTTTTGTCCAACTCTCACATTGGCTTGTACTTCTGAGGTCATTTATGAAAAAGGGTTCTTGAAGGAGTACGTAGTAAAATGTGATTTAAACAGTGTGAGATGAGGGAAAATGTTGGCTTTTAAATCTTTGAGGGTTTAACATGGTTATACATTGAAGTATTGTAAAACTTTATTCACAAAAGTCACATATCACCAATATTTGCTTTGGCGATTTAATAGATATAAACGTTCAAATGAATTTAACATAAAACTCACAAACACTACAATAAAAACAATGACACCGGTTAATGCAACACTGAAATTTCCTCACTGTACGACATATAAAGGATGTGTTAATGACTCACATCTGAGCGTTGACTTCAGACGCAATCCTGATGCAGTTGTCCCGGGAGATGGTGAACTCGTGGTACAAGACCCAGGTGGGCGGGTCAGGGCGGGGCTGGCGGCACACGTACGACGAGAATGGGTGGATGTGGGCCACGTGGCGGTGAGTCAGCAGGAGGTAGTTACCGGACCCATCCACATCATGAGCCACCTGCAGAGACATCATCGTTTATACATTACAAAGTGGACACTGAAATACGCGTCACATGGCATTAGTCTTTCACTCAATACACAGTGGTGATAAACTATGACTGTAGCCACAGCTGCCTTGGGGCACAAAATAAGTGCCATCAGGCCCTCCGACTAGGATATGTGGGCGACGTGACTCACTTGGAGTTCCATGAGGTCTCCCATCACTGTACTAACCAGACCCTGCCTTGCTTAGCTATAGAGGTCTCACGGATTCTGGCTTTCACATGCAGGTAGTCCCATAATTATTGTGCATCCCTACATATTACTATACTGTGTTTACCTTGAGAAAATACCCTGAAATCAGAGCCCGTTTGATGTTTGTGCAGTTGTCTTGGCAACCAAATGCAGGCGGAGACACTGGCAGCTCTATTCTCTGCATCACCTCAAGAAGCTCAGCTCTAATCACAACGGCCAATCGCAGAGCAGCATAACTCAGGAAGTTTGCAACACACCAAGCCTCATCTTGATTATCTGCAAACACATATACTGTTACTATCTGAATACATATACCCATAAAAGGACTTTTGGTACTTATAAGATATGTGTGCACACGTACGTTCAATGAATGCTAAATAAATGTTGACCAGGCTCATGTGATCCCCCTCACTGTGCATTAGGGGGAGCCAGTGAGAAACTGCGTCCTCCTCTGTGCTGGGATCAACCATGACAAAACAGGAAGGCGCTGGGGAGCAAAGCGGAGAGAATTAGAATCTTAAAAAGTTAACAAAAGAATAAGTAGTGAGCCAGTGTATTCACCCGTCAGCATCGCAGCAATGGTCAGCAGCTCGTCCACACAGTCGTACTCACAGGCTGCAATCAGGGCTTTAGCGAGAGGCGGCTCCAGTGGCAGCTCTGACATTATTATACCCACCTCCGACAGGTTCCCATCGTCATCCAGAGCAGCTAAATAGTCCAAGTCCTCCAGGGCCTGCATTAGCGCCTCTGGAGCTGCAGGAAACAACGTGTGCAGAGTTGGAGCGCTATTACCTCGATTAAATGATTATTGGAATTTAAAGATTTTGTATTCGAATTTCTGTTGTCTAATAAGTCCCCTAAAAACAATCTAACTAAAAAGATGCAGTAAAGGATTTATCCAGACAATTTTTTAAAAATACTGTGGAAAAACGTCCCTAAACCCCAAAAGTAGTCACTTTATCATGTGTTTTCAAATAGGAATGGACATGACCAGATGCCTGTAGTCTCAAAAAATAAATCATATATATTTTGGGGCAGACTAATAGAACGAATACAATGGAATGCGTTCATCCACCCCCCTCTTCCCTGCTTTCCGTCAGTGCGCACACCTGTCTGAGTTGTTATTGAGTTGGTTTTTCTGAACACTGGCTGAACAGAAAACCCCCAAGTGCCAATTTCACGTTTCTCGCCCACTCGCCCTGTTGTGGTTAAGAAGAGAAAATCAAATGAGGGAAAGGAGGACAAGAAGACGCGGGACGCAGCCAGGGCTATGTATTGCAGTCGAGTTTTGCTAATTGCTAGTTTGTTAAGGAAATCTAGCGCTTGTCAAGTATGGCAGGCAAATCGCTCACAGACTTGAGCCCTAATTTAGTGTAATGCTTTCACATTTCACACTGGAAGGCTCTGTCACGGACTGCGTTATTAGTTTATTTATGCTGGGAGTGCTAATCCCGGTAGAGAAATTATGTGCTCCCAAAGCTCCTCCCTGCTTCACCAAGACCCTTCTACCGCCCTTATGTCCTGGATTCATGTAGCAACTCTACTCTTTTGGGCGAGCGACTTCACAAGAGCGACTTCACAAGAGCGACTGAGAAACGAACTGATTAGAAACATCCCTCACACTCCGTTGGTCTCCTGCCCACGAACTGCTCATGATTTTTCATTTGTTTATTTTATTTCATTCAACCATTTACAACCGTTTTCAACCATTAACCATTATTTTAACTATGTTGTATTCCCCTAAACAATATTGTACAGAAATGATAGTACCTGGTCTGTCCAGGAACTTGCACTGTCCCATATCAGCGATATCGAGCCTCTTCAGAAGCAGCACTAGATGGCTAAGGTCCTCATCCATCACCCCAGGGCAGTGAGCCACACCCATCTCCTCTTCATACAGGGGTTTGGGATAAAGACGGACGCATAACCCTATAGAAAGAATTATTATTATTACTGTACACATTATATCGTCCATTTGATACTGAGAACAGATGCAGACACCTGTCAGGGGACTGTTCACCCTCTGAGTGCGCATATCCGCCTGCTGTTTACTGACCGCTCTCAGAGTCTGAGAATTGGCCCTGATTTGTGGATTGTAAACCTATGGAAAACAGACAGATCATTAGCAGAAGAAACAATACATCTAGTTTAAATGACACACACTCACAGATTTAAGGTGCAGCCCTGTGTCTATAACATAACGTATTGAAGGCACAGAAAAAGATGCCTCTCCGAGGGTATCTGTGAGTATTACTTTTCTTCTGGGCACAGAGGCCTCTGAGGCATCTGTCTCGATGAGAGAATCCCTCACATCAGCCTCATAGACTCTCTGTATCTGCGCCCCAAGGCCACAGTGCAGAGGGACGATCCGGAGTGCTCCGAGCTGCGGACTCAACGCAATGCTCTCCTTCTCCAGCAGGGCGGCGCACTCTTCAATGCTCTATAGAGAGACCATGATGTAAACAGAGGATTATGATATTATTGACATTTGGAACTATCCAAATAGGCCCAGTAGAGTACACAATACAAAGGAAAGTACATATTACTTTTCAAAACACATTGAAAAGTAATATAAACCAATGAAAAGACACTTATTTTTTCAGTTTTCAGAATTCAAACTAGATGTCTTGTTGGAATAAAATGTGAATGATTATTATGTAAATATAAAAAATAATGTATGACATTACATAGTGGCCCTAAGTAATAAAAACAAACTTAAACTGCAACACTCATGTTAATGTACACTTAATGTATAATGCAAACACACAAATTAAGTGAAACTAAGAGTCAGCCTAAGAGCGTATCAGGACACCAGACACCGAAGGCGTCTCAGGGGCAGTGTCCCAGTTTCACATTTTTAGACAAAATGGTGAAGCTCACAAAGTCCTTTTAAAGTTACCATGACTATTATTATACAATATTTCCCAACAATGACAAGAAATTGTGTTTGTACCTGTAAACTTCCTAAAAACGCCATGACGTCACCTTCTTCTCCCCTGCGGTGCAAATCCAGCACCATATGACAAGCTGCAGCCACAGGGTCCTTCCCTGGTGGCACTTCTCTGTACAGTATTTCTACTTGGCAACCCTCCCCCTCAGGCACCGCTGCTGGAGTGTTTGCACCGTCCCTAACGAGTCCATCCAGGGACAGGTGGGGCACACTGGGTCCCAGGAACGAGGCGAGGCGGGGGGCTAAGGTGGGATGTGTGAGTAGCACAACACGGAAGTTGTCTGGCCTCTGCTGGCACACATCACACAACAGTCCCAACAGAACATCGGTGGGAACAGTGCGCTCCTGAACTTCGTCCAATACTATGATCCCATACTGATGTAGGAGCGGATCAGACATCATCTCCTCCAGAAGACGAGAGTCACTGACAAACCTTAAATGACAAAGAAGCAATTTGATTGAAGTGACAGTGCAGAACGTTCTGGATGTTACATGCAAAACATACACAACATTGTATGAAATAATATGGAAGACGATAACAATATTTTTATTTATTTATTATTCAATTCAATTCAATTCAATGTATTCTTGTATAGCCCTAAATCACAACATTAGTTATCTAGGAGGACTTTACACAACTGTTGAATTCGCCAACACAGATCAGAGAATCAAACAGTTCAAACACAAGAAATAGAACCGAAAACACATAGAGCCACTGGTCCATAAGGGGCAGATGACCAATGTCCATAAATGTTGTTGAATGTTGAGTGTCTTTGATCATCACCACTGTCCTTTATATCCTTATAAGATATGGATATATGGATAGAACAGTTACAGTAGATAGAGCCGATGCACTGCCTTCAGTGACTGTACACTGTAAATATTAACGGACATAGTCACGCCTATCTCCGCCGTTCAAACAAATGGGCCAAAAATTGTGCTCTACCGGAGCTATCCAAAATGGCCACGAGTGGTCCCGCCCACAAGAAAATTGTGAAAAACGCATCTGCGCATGCGTCAGCTGGCGCAAACCCCCTTTCATTTAACGAGTGCCTTCAAAAATTCACAACAACTAAACTAGAGTGGTCCAAAAAAATTCACTCCCCTCAGCATTGACACACATGTGGAATGGAGCTTTGGGCCAAGAGAATACTTTTGGACCATCCTGTAAAGACGTTTATGAGAGGTAAGAAGATGCTATATGTTAGCATTGGCTAATTCTTATTCTGGGTCCACTCCCATCGGCCCGGAGTTGTATTGCAACCATGTCAGCGCACGTCATTTTGGCCACTTTCGAGCCGGGTACATGAGTGTAACACGAGGCTCTCCCTAAGTATGAGTCACGTTTGTGGAACTACACGCCTTACAACAGGATGCAAGTTTTATACTCTCGGTGCCTTGAGTCGGAAAACCATGCACTGTTTATGTCTATATGCCTATATTTTGTTTTTGTCAAATTTGTTTAAATAAAACACACACGTAAAATGTTCGGTGTCGAAAGAAAAAGGGATTAAAGAAGATATTAAGGTGTGGCATGTTGTGCAGGATTATGCAACACTTGTGTCATATAGCACTGAAATTCAAACCCAGGTTAAGATCTACCTGGAAGGTGTAACAGCTGCTGATCACAGAGTAAAGCAACCAACCTTAAGATGAATACTTTTAGCAAAAGAACACGTTTCCTGACCTGAGAAGGGTATCTGGTGTACAGCTGTCGTCGTGGGAAACCCTGTAACCCACCTCCATCCCCAAACTCAGGTCCATCTCGTCAGCCACTCGCAGAGCCAGACTCACCGCTGCCACTGAATACGGCTGAGAGCAGCACACCAGGCCCTGAGAAAACTCAAAGGACAACGCATACTCCAGACACCACTGAGGCACCTGCAGAGATGAGGACAAGGAATGCATGGTTTATAATGTATATATGAATTATTAAACACGCATATGAGATAAACGCACATATGGGAATATAGCTTTAATAGCTCAGAAGAGATCACATAAAATATCAAAATTGATTTAATTCCCTAATTTCATATGGTTGTTCACTAAACCAGTTTGCATCTGCAGTTTTGCAAACATAAACAAAAGGTGTTGAACAAAAGGTGAGGACCTCTTGGGCTGTCTCAAGAGTCAACAGATCGTAGGAGTGTACAGGTTCCAACAAAGAAGTGTAATTTGGTCAGTTTATTGTTGTTATTCATTAACATGAAAGAAACGCAAGATGAATGCTACATAAAACAGGTCATGTCGAGATAAGAAATGGCAGTGTCTTGTGTGGTGGTTGCTGGAAACAGCTATAAAATGTTTAACCTCAAACAGAAATAAACTCTTCATTCTTCTCTGTTTGATGTTGTTAGAAATGATCAGGATGAGTGTTCACCTGTGTGCTCTTCCCTGATCCACTGGGCGCACTGATCAGGACCATGTTGTTGGTTTCCAGCTGTTCCAGGAAGTTCTGTCTGATTCTCCAAACAGGCATTTTTTTCCGTTCTTCCAAAAGAGCATAGTAGCGTGAAGAAAATGGCAAACCATCATAAGGATTTACTTCCAAGTCTCGCAGTCCATCTTCGTCCCCCATCGCTTCCTCGCCATCACTGTCCAAGTCTCCAGAGAGCAAGGAGGACACCGAAAGAGAGTCTGGGGTCTTTGGTTTTGTTAATGGAGACGACATCATCAATGGAATGAGCGACAAAAGGAAGACTCTTGGGGAGAACGGTTATCAGCAGAAAACATCACCTGATGGAACAAACAATAGTTTGCAGTGAGAATTATGTTAAAACATTTTTTGCGTAGCTTTACAGATTCAAGGATTCAACATGAATCTTCCTGTGAGCCCAGGTCAAAGAGACTGACAGTGTGGTCCACATTCAAAGCTACATATATTACAAAACAATATCTCAAAAAGGAGGAACAATCCATTTATGTCATTGTTTACAAATGTAAGAATGTAATCTTATAGGTTATGTTATATGTTGATTATTTGTATTTCCTATATTACCACAGGTTGGATACGTTTAGTAAATATTATCCAAATATTCTGCAATATTTTGTCATTGTTATCATCTATAACGATTATATATGAGACAACATGTATATTTCGTGTCGTCTCATGTGTGTGATTGTTTTGGATATATTTATATATTCGCTTATAATAATTAATTTGCAGCCCAATTTTTGTGTATTCAACGTTTTGTCACACACTTCCAGGTGCTGCATGATAAGCATTTACAACAGTACAGAAAATATTATGGTGTTACAGATAATTATTTCCACAAAAAATAATCCCAAAAGCCTACATTTTCTGCAGCGAACATGGTGATTATCATTGATCTCCACACAATGAATATTGCACAAATAATCTCAGAATAAAGAAAGCTCAGAACATGTAGCCCATGTTCTAAAGAGTGACATTTGAAATGTCAACTAACATGTTTATTCAACGTTGTTACCTGCGATTACCTGTGACACATCTCCAGATATATCTAGCGTTAAGTGCAGGTTGTCCGCTTTCTCTCTGCATATAGGCTCAAAGACAATACCAAAAATGACCGAGAACAGCGCAGGCCGCAGAAAAACTGGGCTACTTTATTGTCCGCCCATATTCTTCGTCCTAAGCCACAAATAGAAAGATGACTCCGGCTATAATCGAAGCTGGTAGCTCTTGTTAGCAGCAGCCATGTTTAGTTGTCCAGCTGTCAAACCACGTGGTACATTCAGGGCGCCTCGGAAAATTTAAAAATCACCGTAATAACGCAAGTATAATTGCCAGTAACACACCATTCTCGCAAGCAAGCAAATAATAATTGTTGAATGCAAATATTTAACTTGTGTATAATGCAAAAGCATTACTCTCAAATATTCTTTACCCACACTCTGCATGTATGGGCACCATAGCACGGATTGGCAGCCTGCTTCTGTTTGTCTTCCCTTGGCTACCTCGGGGAGTCGACTTTGCGTTGGCCTGCGAAGAGCTCTATAAATAAATCACTCTCTCAAAAAATAAGAAACAACAAAATACTAAAATGCCCGCTAAGGGTCAAATTATTTGCACATTTTTATATTTAGTTTAAAGGTATTGGTGGATTTTCCCAGATTTTAGGAAAGAACCAGCCTCTTCACTTTTTGAACAAAACTCTCTGGTTTCATTTGACAAGCAGCTATCACCAGAATGATTGACAATTGGGAGGACCAATAGTCTTGATGATCCACCCCGAAGTAGAAAATCCTCCTATATACCTTTAAGTTACAGTTGGAGTGAAAAAAATACAACTGCTTAGTATTACTTTTTATTATGAATCTCTATGGAAACGATCCTAAAAGATGAAACCCTTGGATCTATACAGATTATACATTTGGCTGATAGCAACTTTAAGCACACATGTTCTAGTCACATTGTTGAATCTCATAGTTGTTATGGCAACCAGCTATCTGTAGTAGCAAAGACTGTGTGCTCTCGCTGAGGCTACGATCTTTATTTTTTCTCTGAGTCTGTCCTCCCATTGCTTGCACCAGTCTGTGCTTCTTTCCAGGTTTTCGTATCTAGTGGGTAAATTGTCCAACTCTTGCACTTTCTCTGGAAGATCAAAAGGTAGACCGGCCATCTGAATCACAGACTGAAACTTGGCTGGAGATGCTGTAGCAATGTAACACCTGAAAACAATCAATTGAAGAGCAGATTCAGAGCATTTGAGAATAATTAACAAAAAATTGGGTTTTCAAAGTCTGACCTTGGCTGCCCCTGTTTGTGGGTGCAGTGGTAGTGATGCCACACTGCGACAGCCGTATGCGGACATAACACATAATGGTTCTCCTTCCAACACCTCCTCATAGTCTCCAAGATCCCCTCATCCGTTACTGTTCCAGTTGACAGCAGCTGAGAGAGCTACAGCAGGAGTAATGTCATATTTTAGAAGAAGGACCCAATGTGGGGGAAAAGTATGAAATATATACCAATTTGCGGTGGTTTTCAGGAAGAACGTGACAATGTGATGTTTGAAACTCCTCCATCAGTTTCTTTATACAAGCCCCATCTTTGTCAAGCAGAAGCCAGAATACCCTCTCCATGTTGTATGGGTCCTGAAAACACAAAAGAATAACAAATATAAAACATATACCAGTTATGGAAATATGTAATGGACTGCTGTCTAATCTGACAATTAAAGCAAAAAGAAAAGAGATTACAATTTATTCTTGCACAAAAAACAAAAGTACTCATAAGGACAAAATAAAAGATAAATTATAACTGTATTAACAATAATATTAAAACAATACATAATAACACACTGTAGCATATTATCCACTCCCCCTTTTCCCTGTTTAAGTACATTACCCCACCTCCCCTTAACGGCTGTGTTGCTGATATATGTAAATGTCGAATGTCTCTGTATTTTAAGAAGCTAATAGTGACATACCTGAATGTCTATTGCAGGGGCCAAGGTTTGCAAAACATTTGCTGCCATGGAGAAGTCCCCTTTGGTGACTGTTCTGTGGACAATATCATTCGAATTCACCATGGCCACAAGTCTCAGAGGCAAACCCATCTGCTTCACAATGTAACCAGCTAAGTCAAACAAACCAGAATGAATTATTAGACATAGCATGATGTTATGGCTGCAAAATATGTACACATCAATTTCATAATAAATAACCTGCAATGTTTCCTGCCCCTCCGGTGGGGACTACCACCTCCAGCTCTGGGAATGCTTGGTGGTCTGTCACTTGATCCATGTCGATGAGCTGGAGGTATGCATAGATAAAGTGCACAAGCTGGACCATAACTCTCGACCAGTTCACAGAGTTCAGGCTCATGAGGCCGTAAGATTTGACAAGGTCTTGGTCGGCAAACAAACGCCGCAAAGGCTGATCGATATCATCTGAGCAACCGTCCGCTGTGGACACATACAGCAGTTTCAACATTAGCTTTGGATCGAATCACTACTTCTTCTATCTTCATTGAAATACCAGCAAACACATGAATATTATCCTCAAGTGCTGTTATCATGTGTTTCTCTTGCACTGGGGTGATGCGTCCTCTTGGATAAATGACCACCAAATCCAAACCAGACAAGCCCTTGGCACTTTGGATGGCTGAACCTCCCGTGTCCCCAGAAGTACCTGAATGAAAATAATCAAAGTACATTTTTAGGAATGCGTATTGTTTTTTAGTTCAAGTTACAAACCCACACTTTATTTGAACACAGTTTTAAAAACGAAAGAAATATATTCTGAGAGTCTGATTTGATGTGTTTACTGAAGGATGCTGAAGGATGAGGGCTTTGTGTTCCTATCTGCCATACTAAACTGTGTAAACTGTCTTTGCTCCATCCTGTAGTTGACTCTGAAGGTGTTTAATTATTGAATAATACTAAATCATTTGTAAACTAAGTCATTTTGATTGCTCTACTTCTAAAAACAAAAGTCTTCCACAAAAATTAAAGGGAGACCAGAGGGTCTAACTGGAGCCACATCCAAAATGTGTGTGTGTAAAATATGTGGGAGAAGAGTCCTTACCTACAACAACAGTGGCGCTCCGGTTTTCCTTGTGCAAAAAGTAGTCAATAAAACGTACTGTGCACGTCATGGCCAAATCCTTAAAGGCCAATGTGTCTCCATGAAAGAGCTCCAAAACAGTGAGACCATCTTTTAGTTGTGCAATCTTTACCACCTCCGGCACAGAAAATCCAGAAAGAGCTGCATGTACCAAGGCTGGGAGGGAGAAACAAAATGATCTATTGTGTGTCTATTGTGCCAATTAGGAAATTCATTCAACACCAATACTGTTTTGGAATCATTAACTCATTCACTGCCAGCCATTTAAAAAGCAGCATCCCTCATACTGCCAGAGATTTTGGACATTTTTAGTGTTTTTCCGAACCGCATAGAAATGTGAGCCCTTAGTTGACACAAGTATGAAACATACCAAATGAAAGCTCTATCCCTTGGCTTCTAAGTTCTAAGTGGCTTCTAAGTTTCTAACCCTTTTAGTTTTTTAGCAATTGAGAGTGCAACATAGGTAACTTTCACACAAAATGCTGTTTCCTGACCAAGATTTGGAGAAAACAGCCTTTTTGTGAAACGCGCATTTTCAAGCAGAAAAGTGGGTTTTTTTTGTCTTTACTGATATTTTACAATGTATGACAGTTTCTTACTATGACACAAAACAGAAACAATACTTTGAATTGTATTTTTAATGTATAATTATTTTTAAACAAATTAAACGTGTACACACAATACACTCAAAGGATTGTCTTATGTACACATAAAATATTCAACTTGTATACAATAAAAACACTTTGTGCACAAATATACAGTAAAAATAACACTTTCTGAACACTTTGTGAAACAATTTTACTTTAGTTTATAAAGAATAGTAATTGGGTGACCCCACACTCTGCTGAAGTGTGGGATCTACTTCCTCCGCACTCCTAATACATTTCCAGATTAGTTTTTTTTTTACAAACCCAGAGAGAAATGTCAAAC